AATTCCGTCCTCCATGGTGGCACTACTCCAGAGGCGTGGAGCAGAAGTGCGGTGGTCTTGTTCTTTAAGAAAGGCGACAACGCTCTCTTGAAGAACTACAGACCGATTTCCCTTCTGAGCCGCGTCTACGTGCTGTTTTCGAGAGTCATTACGAATCGTCTCGCACGCAGACTCGACGACTTCCAGCCTCCCGAACAAGCCGGTTTCCGAAAAGGCTTCAGTACCATAGACCACATACATACCCTGCGGCAGATTGTACAGAAGACTGAAGAGTACAATTTGCCACTTTGCCTGGCGTATGTGGACTATGAGAAAGCCTTTGATTCCGTCGAAATTTGGGCGGTGCTGCAGTCCCTTCAGCGGTGCCAAGTTGACTGTCGGTATATTGAAGTGCTGAAGTGTTTGTACAGTAGGGCTACGATGGCTATCCGAGTACAGAACCAGAGCTCGAAACCTATCCAACTGCAGAGAGGTGTAAGACAGGGTGACGTTATATCCCCGAAACTCTTCACCGCTGCTTTGGAAGACGTTTTCAAGCTACTGGACTGGAAAGGATACGGTATTAACATCAATGGCGAGTACATCACTCACCTTCGATTTGCCGACGATATAGTCCTTATGGCAGAATCGCTGGAGGACTTAAGCACTATGCTCAATGACCTCAATAGTGCCTCCCAACGGATAGGTCTTAAGATGAACATGGACAAAACAAAGATTATGTTTAATGTCCATGTCACACCTATGCCGGTAGTTGTTGGGAGCACTATGCTCGAAGTTGTTGACGAGTACGTTTACCTGGGACAAATAGTCCGACTAGGTAAGTCCAACTTCGACCGAGAGGTCAATCGACGGATTCAACTCGGCTGGGCAGCGTTCGGGAAATTACGACATATCTTCTCGTCAGGTATACCTCAATCTCTGAAAACTAAAGTGTACAACCAGTGCGTGTTGCCAGTGATGACTTACGGATCAGAGACGTGGTCCTTCACTGCTGGCCGTATGAGGACGCTCAAGGTCGCTCAGCGAGCTATGGAGAGGGCTATGCTCGGAGTTTCTCTGCGTGATAGACTCAGAAATGAGGATATCCGCAGTAAAACCAGATTGACCGACATAGCCCAACGGATTAGTAAGCTGAAGTGGCAATGGGCCGGCCATATAGCTCGAAGAACCGATAACCGATGGGGAAGAAAGGTTCTCGAGTGGCAGCCTCGTACCGGTAGGCGTAGTGTAGGGCGACCCCCCACTAGATGGAGTGACGACCTGGTAAGTTATGCAGGAAGTCGATGGATGCAGGTGGCTCAGGACCGTGCTTTGTGGCATTACTTGGGGGAGGCCTATGTTCAGCAGTGGACTTGTGAAGGGCTGTGATGATGATGATGATGATGATGATGTGTCGCTTTTTGGCTTATTTAAAAGAGTTATATCCAGAGTAAATACATTTTGCCTACCAGGAAGGCCCATTCCACAAAAATTGCCACAAAGAATGGTCAGAGCTGACTGAATCCATATCCTACCCATCCATTCTACATCATCTATAAGATCCAATTGACACTGCATGGGGAGCAAGGGGGCACCTGGATTAAAAAAATAGTAGAGTGTCATATGTGTATTCAAGTATGACACTAAGATCTTACAATGCGTGTGTTCCCATTTCTTAGCTCATATCACATCGGCATAATATAATATAAGGATTGAAACATAGAATTAGCATTATATCTTCTTATTTTTTTTTTAGGAAAAAAATGGCTACATTGTTTAACCAATGATTATCTGCCAATATCAGGGTTGGAGATGTTACTAGAAACACTGCGGCGGTGTATTTTGTCTACTAGTTTTAGGGACAATTACACATAGAACCCAAGAGGTTGTGAAACCTTTAAAAGTTAAAAACACCATGAGTTTGATACAGAAGTCCTTAGTACTATATAATGTCCTGCAAGACAACAGTTTGATAGTATTGGAAGTTTAAAGTGTAGTTGATTTGATAATGCTCAAATTGTTTGAGGGGACATCCTAATGACCAAATTTTTATTTATTTATGCCTACACAGATATTTTTCGTACAACAGTTTGAGCCTAACTGAACATAGATTCCCCCCAAATAATACCACAAAACATTGTCCTGAGCCACCTTTTTATATATTTTTACTTTTTATATAGAGAAAGGGCGACTGACAGTTCGCCTGATGATAAGTGGATGCTGGGGCCCATAAATCTACATTTATCATTGATTAATAATTAAAATGAAGATGCTTTGTCACCCCTGAGGACTATGATGGAATGCCTTTTTAGCAGTAAACAGGTTCTCTACACTCACCATGCGTGTTTCGCAGCACTATTCTGCTGTTTCGTGCTGGTATTCTATGAGAGCGTGGTCCTAATCCAGTCGAGCAACCTGTCTCATCGTCGTGGCTCGACTATATTAAACCTGCATCCATCAACCTGCCAGGTAGTGCCTAGTGGGGGACACATGATGTTAAATAATAACACTTCATGGAACAGAATCGACATTTGCTGCATCATATTATTACGATACCAAAATTGCAAGTGTAAGCTTTCGTATTCCGAAAATACCGCGCGCTTCTAACACAGTTTGTTTGTTTGTATTCCAGATCTATTTTTATCAAGCGCAACGTTATCTGAGCTAGATTTTTGCGTAACTATTATGTTACGGTTAAAGATTTAGCTTTGGAGCGTTCTTATGTTTATTTATGAATTACAACATACATTCGTGATTTTGTTTTCGTAGGCTTTTGAATTTTTGTAAAGACTAGTCAGGAACTTTCTTGTTGTTACGTTTGAAAAAAAAAAACTTTGCATCCTCCGTTCTTATTAATTTAATTCCCTTCACAAATTCACTGCTTAACATAGACATGCTCCTCAAGGAATGTCAAAAAGCATGGCCTTGAGCCACCTACATTAGTCGACTTCCTGCGTATATTGCCAGGTTGTCACTCTCTCTAGTAGGGGGCCGCCCGACATTTAGCATACCATTATGGGGCTGCTACTCCAGAACCTTTCTTTCCCATTGGTTGTTGGTCCTTCGACCAACTTCCCATTGCCACTTCCGTTTACTAATCTGTTAAGCTATGTTGGTTACTCTGGTTCTACCTCTTCGGATATCTGCAAATATCGTCATTTCTAAATCCATCATCTATCACGCAGAGAAACCCCGAGCATATAGCCTTCTCCATAGCTCGCGGAGTAACCTTGAGCTTTTTGACCGCTCGCTGTAAATATCACAGTACGTATGCTGGATTAGATTGCCGCCGGATGTGCAACAGGTTTGCCACTGCAAAGTACTCATTTTTTTACTGTTGTTGTTTTGACGAATTTAATGTCATTATGTAGTTGATTACATTAAGATTTGCCGATTTGGTGGAAGTGTTAGTGGTGCATATAAGACATGTGTCTTATATGCACCACTAACACTTCCACTTTTTCATTTCTCGTGATCGAATTATTCTAGTACATTTCGTCACGCGTACCGGTACTTTCGGATCGATCATTCATTCATCATCATTTTGGGCTCCAGTACTCTACACTAAAAACAATTCATTCAGGTCATTCGGGATTCGGTCGTTTTGTGACTCATTCACAATTAAAACCAATCACGAGTTAAAAAGGCTCCGTCCATTGTTTGTGATTGGTTGTACCGGAACTTTCATGAACAGATGAATGAACCATCAACACTTAAGTGTACCAGCTCAAACGAACTTATCATTCATGCATCTACGTATTGTGTGCGTGCAGGCCGGCGAAATCTTTTTAGCAGTGTCTTAGTAATGAGTTGCAGCGCTGGGGGCCGTTGGGTCGAATCCCTATCGGAACAAGTATTTGTATGAACTACTAACAATTGTACCGGGCTGGATGTTTGTCATTGTGCAATTTATATTTGTAAACTGCCTTTACGATACACCGGGGAAAGACCACGCTCTCACAGAATACCATCGTATAACAGCAGTTAAATGCTGCTGTGTTTCATAAGGTGAGTGTAGAGAACCGAATACCCTTTTTATTGAAAACGAGGCATTCCATCTTAGTCCTCAGGAGTGGCAACGCATCTGCAATTTTATTCTTAATCAAGGATAGATGTAGATGTCTTTGGGCCACAGTATTCACTTACCATCAGGTGGACTGTGTGCTCGTTTGTCACTCATATTCTATAAAAAAAGAGCTTAGTGGAATCCAGACAAATACTGCCTAGCCTATTTTTAGGACAGTTAGGAAATCTATATTGAATAAAAATCATTCATTTCATTTCATGGCACATACTGTTTTGTAATGAGTCCCACATAAACATGGGACCTATATATCCCAGGAGGAGGTTTACAAATTGACTGTATGTTCTTTTTTATATTATGTACAACATACAAGATGTTATACAATATTTTCGTCAATTGTGAACCGATTTAGACCTGTCAGTCAACTGTCACTTGAAAAGTACGGCTTGCAAAGAAAATTAATTAGCATGTTGATAACGTTTAACTGAATCTTGTGTTATCGAATCTGTTTATAATTATTTTTATAAATTAATATATAAAATTGATATTAGTCATGATGATAATTAGGAATATTTTAAATATTTACATAAATCCATGTTCTATCTTTATAAGCAAAAGCAGCTGCGATGCAGAGATAAGCGAAATTGCATTTTTCTAATGTAACTATTTACACAACATTGAGATTGTGTTATTCTTTAGTCCAAAAGTGTAAAAAATACCTTTAATAATTTTATTTTATTATTTTTAGTTTTTTTAAGTCGACTAATTTTTTATTAAAAGATGATTTGTAAATTAAAGTAATTTGATGACTCCATGACGCAGCGGCTTAGCGTTGAGTTGCGGGGCTAAGGGTCGCGGGTCTAAATCCCGCACGGAACAAGCATTTGGGTCTGGATGCCTCCAGAGCAAATGTTTGTTTTATTAAAAAAGAAAAAAAAAACAAGCGACCAATATTATTTTGATGTAAGAGTTGACAGGAGTTTCCGCGTAATTTCAGTTGCAGACAAGGGCATATGCCTGCCGACGGTGGCGATCTGCTGCGCGGTGGTGTACCTGGAGGGAGCCCTGCGGTCCGCACGCGAGTTGGAGCTGTGCCACCCGCTGGCCGCCCACTGTGTGGGCTACCCGGCCGTCTCGCTCGGCTTTGGCGTCAAGGCGTACGTGGGACGCCGCCTTCGACTCCGCAGGTGGGGACGCAACAAGTTTTTCATATTTATTATAATGTCGAAGAAAGCCTGTTACCGATTTACAATATCGAGCATGTTGATCCATTGATTGAAAATGCAGCATTTTATTACTGCTTTTATCCTTAACTATTTTATCTTATACCGGTTCCACTCATGATTGGGGGGGGGGGGAGGAGATTAGCCGTAATCGCCTTGTTGGCTGGGTGATGGTGGTGCTGGTGTAATACAATTTATAGCACCACTTCGCTCCATGAGTGTTTTAAGAGGAAACAATAGATACTTTTGCTAGTTAATGTAACATAAATATACCTACATTAATAGATATATAAATTGAAGTGAAATATTTTATAATATTCAAAATATATAGTGTTTTATTCAGCATAAATTCATGTGTTTTTTTACCATATTTTTATAAACTCCATTTCTTTTATGACTGTTTAACATGGTAGATGTATGATTTTTTTTAAACCATTTTCACTTATATTTATACGATTTAAACTAATCTGAATAACATTTCATATTGGTAATGAAAAGTTAATCGACACAATGTCGATATTTCGGTTTAATAATATCGATACAATAGATAATTTAATACGATCGACATTCGGGTATAGTGTTTGTTCGGTGTCCGCAGGCAGCGGCAGGTCCGCGCCGAGAACGAGTTCTACTTCCAGCTGATGCGAGACGCGTTGCCTGAGAGCGCACTAGAGGTAAGTAACTTACCTTCTGTTTGCTACCCGACATTTGTTAAAATTTCGATGTTTGTTATAAGGATCAACATATTATGTAAAAAAATAAAGTAAAATTAGATTAGGTTTTTGTGTTGTATTGTGAGGCGTTTTACACCGGCAATACATGTTGGCCAAGCCTCGGCCAACGCGAGCATAGGCAAATTGATACAAGGCGAGTGCTACAGTCTACATGTTGGCCAAGTTCGAAAGAGACCAATTCCAAAGCCGGCCGTAATTAGTCTTCATTGAGAATTGGTATGATATGGACGATGTATAATTTATTGCAGGTTTTGCTATTTATTTAATTAGTGCATATAATTATTATGTCAGTGTACTCCGCAGTAAAGTTAAAGAACTTAAAGATGTCCTCGTTGGTATAGTGAAGTTGTTGAAATTATTTATACCGACACTGTTCCGAAGTGGACGTGTCGTAGCGAGCAATCCCGAGTGGCGGCAAGGCACGTCAAACGAAGCGTAACATGTGAACGCAAATTGCCGAGTGCAGGCGAGCGCCTTTGATTTGTGCAGAAAAACCGACAGTGTTCCGAAGTGGACGAGTCGTAGCGAGTGATCCCGAGTGGTGGCAAGACACGCCAAACGAACCGTATACACGTTGGCGTTCGCCTGCACTCTGCCAGCTAGGCGAGCGTTGACGAACAATGCCGAGGTGGACAAATGGGCTGTCTATACATTCGTGCTCGCCTTCGCTCGGCCAACATGCGTAGCCGGCTTTACATACACAAATTACTCGTGGACCAATTATATTTATGCTGTATAAAAACACTTGATCCGTGCAGGATTTGAACCCTAGGTTAATGTGCTGTATTGTGAGGCGTTTTAAAAGTAGTGAAGTTACAGCCTATATACGTCCCACTGCTGGGCACAGGCCTCCCGTCATTTCTGAGAGGGTTTTAGGGCAAGGAAGTGTCCGCACATGTCTTCGAAATATTTTTTTTTCTTATTCCTTAGACATGAAGGTTTCCTCACGATGTTTTTCTTCACCGCCGAGCACGTGGTAAATGTCTAAGGTAGTGGATATCCTTAGACTGCCACTACACGGTCAACGTTAGACAAAACTATGTAGGTCTCAGCCGTTGAGCTAGATCAGGGCTTCTTAGAATAGCAGTCAGATCTAATGTTTGTGCAACAACTCAATTGTTTTTGGGTCTGTATTTATTTAATGGTACCCCTGCTCATTTTAATGATTGAATTCTCGGTTTCTCGAGATATCTTCTCGTGTATCTTTTAAAAAGATAATTTACAATCTTAATCAATATCAAAATTATTATCTACGATTCGCGTTAGGTCACGTATTCTAATGCAATTGCATTATGCAACGTGCTTGCATCGTCATTTATTTATCATTTATGAAATATAAGATTATTTTTTTTGTAATTACCTACCTTATAAAAATATTTTGTATTTTGTGAGTTTATTGATGGTAGTTAATGATGTACGAAACATTTTTTCACCCAATTGTCTCAAAAGGAAGGTTAAGATTTTCGAGTGTTGTATGTCTATTTCTTTGGCACGCTCTGTAATTATAAAAAAACGTAAATGGTCGCGTGGATTACGTATGTAGTCCAATTTAAAATAAGAAGAAAGCTTTAAAATATGAACTAAAATGTATTTTATTTTATTTCAAATATGAAACGGGGTAACATTTAGTCAACGGATTTAATTATATTTAATAAACAAAAACCGTTTATACGTCCCTTTTTATTCAAATTATAATAATAAAAAAATAATAGTATATGAATATTTTTTTCATTAATTTCAAAGTTAGATCACAAATCAGTTTACATATTTTTCTCTAATCATTTGTTTCCAGAAATATCTAAATTTGAGATTATTTTACAGTGGTTTACTATTGTAATCCACGCGACCACTGTAGGGTTACGGTTTCCCTGTGCGTGAAAAAGATACAATAGTTAAACAATTGAAATGTTCATATATGATTCATTGGACAGGGAAATGGTTAACAGGTTAGGTTAGTTGATACTTTATAGGTAGTCGGGATTTTTTTTAATAATGAACCATTGGGCTTGTTTAATAAATGCGAAAGCAATGGGAGTTTCTCTTGTCTCGTGCAGGCGTTATAGATACATAATATATAAAGTGGACATCGACAAACATCCAGATCCAGAACTATTATTTGTAGGCTTTACATACACTTGCTTTGTGCGGGTTTGGAATTCGTGGCACTAAGCGCCGAAGCCAAAGTGCTAAAAACCACTAAGCGAAACCACTATGACAAATTTAAAATGAAACGGTCCGGAAACGGTTAACTGCACAAGACATATAATAATACCTGGGCGGTTTGAAAATTTCTCAGCCTAACCGAGATTTCAGGGTAGTCTGTAAATATATGTGACGGCTCGCGTAATTATTTATCTACGATGTTTTGTTCGCTCGAATCTGCTTTTCTCCCAGAAAATGGAAAAAAGTGAAATAAGAGCCGTGGTTAAATATTTCGTCAAATAAAATAATGACGCCACGTCAGATCAGAGAACACATGGATAACACATTAGGTAAATCTGTGCCTTTATATTCCGCAGTAAAAAAGTGATCAGCTTTACTCAAACAAGGCAGAAAAAGCGTCGAAGATGACCCGAGGAGCGGAAGGCCGTCGACGTCCATCACGTCAGAAATCATCGACAAAATCCCCAAAATTGTTTTAGAAGACCGGAGATTGAAAGTGCGTGAAATAAATGACACTGTAGGAATCTCAACTGAGCGGGTGTCTCATATTTAAACCGATTACTATTAAAACTAGGAATGCAAAAACGTGTTAGCCGCGTTTCTTGACCGCCGAACAAAAACTCAACCGGGTTGAAATCTCAAAGCACATGGATGGAAGAAAGTTTTCCACAAACGACGAGATGCTATCTAAGACGTAGCGGATTTTTGAAAGAGTTGGAGGGATCTGCCTATAAGAGTGGCATGGAAGCACTGTAGCATAGATTGTATAAGTGTATTTTTGTAACATTTTTTTTTCAATTTTATTTGCTTTTTTTCTTCAAGTTCTTTAAGTTATGGCCTGACTGGGCCGAGAATTTTTTAAACCACCCGCGTAGTGCCTCTTATAATAACTCTAGAACCCCGGCGCGGATCTAGAGTAAAATTTTGGAGAGGAATGAAATTTCTCGCCACGCCATCTTTCATTTCATTATACGAGTATGATTTGAGTAGGAGCGAAATTCCCTCCCTCTAGATCCGATGTAACGCGTATGCGAAAAGATCAGGGATCAGGTTAGCATGCAGCGAAATCAGCGAAAATCAAAAATTTAGGCTGTTGCACAAATACTGGTTTATTTAAACCTATTGTAGAACTCAGGTATTCTCACTACTGGTATTAAGGTATTCTGTAATCAGGTATTTTCACGTCCGAGAGCATACACTGAAAGTCTTTAGAACTGGCCAGATATAAACGATATAGTAAAAAAATAAGTTCAAATTTTGAAAATGGAACTCTTTGCCAGTATTATTGTGTATGTATTTTATTAATTTTTAATTTGTTTACGATTTGGCGGCAAATTGAAAATTATCTGGGTCACGTCAGCATGAATTTAACGCGAGAAAATTTACAGGCTGGCTGATGAAAATGGGCAATTCTTTCAAGAAGCTTAATCTCTTGTTACATGTTTGTTGTGATGGCGTAAAATTTTTTATTACCCAATCATCCCGTGGGTGTGGTAAGAGGAGAGGCAAATCTCTGTGGCAAAATCTGATGATGTATTACATTAATTGACATTAATATTACTACTATATTGCATTTTCAGACCCCCAGTGTTCTTGTTTGACTAGCGGAATATTCTAGGCTCTTGTTCAGCAGTGCTCTACATCTATGGAATTACCTTCTATTGCAGGAAAATCAGCAGGGTTTAAAAGAGGAGCGTACAGTCGCGAACGAAACCGCCGAGTGTGCGACCGACACGCGGCAGCTCAACGGCTCGCTGCGGCGCCGCTGCGTGCGCGAGAACGGGCACTGCGGGTCCGAGCACGCACAGTTACAAGTTAAGGTACACCATTATGCGTCGTATCTCTATATATGTTAAGGTTAAAATTGTCGGTTGGACTTAGAGCGTAGTGCAGCGGCGCCGATAGGTGTGTGAGAACAGGCATTGCGTGTCCGAGCACGCACAGCTGCAGGTTGAGGTACATCACTATACATTGACTCTATATATGAATTAAGGTTAATATTGTCTGTTGGACGTAAAGCGTATGCGCTAGCTGCAGCGGCGCCTGCGCGTTGCGAACGGGCATTGCGGGCCTGAGCACGCACACCTGCAGGTTAAAGTACACCACTATACACCGTGTTTTTATATAAATAAAGGTTAATATCGTTTGTTAAACGTAGAACATACAAAAAAATAGCGGTGGATTGAGCAAAATAACACTGATACTTTAATTAATATTGAATGTCTAGGCTTCTTAGGCCTTTTCTCTAGGCTACAGTTTCTATTATCCTTCATTAATTTCGGCCCTGCCTACAATGTAGAGGTTACTTGTGACCTTCAAACTTTTTATGTTTATATATTTGACTGTCTTTACAGGAGAGTTTTGTACCCTAGAATAATACTTTTTTATTTACAGTTAGATAGATTAGAGAAGCATTTAGCACAACAGAGTGCGGTGCGAGAACGCGAGAAGTCGCAACCGCAGATGCAGGCACAGGCACAGCCGCACACGCACACACAGGCGCCTGCGCACACGCACACTCACGCACACACGCACGTGCACACCAACGGCTCTGCGGGCGGAGCCGGTGCGCCGCAAGAAGAAGAGCGACACGACCCAAATAAAGGTGAGCCATAAGCCGCCGATTCTCCCGGACCGATAAGAATTTTGAAACCAGCTTACTTCTTTTTAAAAGGCCAGCAACGCAATTGCAATTCGCTTGGTGTGCAGATGCTCGTTTCCCCCTCTTGTATAAAACAAGTACTTACAGACTATATATATCCCACTGCTGGGCACAGGCTCTCATTGAGATGAGAGGGTTTTGGACAAGAAAAAATCCACCGCGCTGCCCCAGGGTGTGTTAGCTGACTTCACATAACTAATTTAATTGATGCTGACAGAGATCGAACCTGCGAATTTACACCGAGCGCTTAGCCCCTAGGCTACTACGGCTTTTGCGCAGTAGCTTAATTTAAAAAAAAACTAATTAGATATTTCTGTATGTTCTCTTAATGTTAAAACAAGAGTGTATGTATGATATATTAAGTTGTTGTCATTAAATTGGTACAAATAGTAATCATTAGGCGAGCGAGTCGCTTATCAGAATAGGGTATTACACTCATTTTCAAAAAGTATTAAATAAATCCTAGAGTGATAATGAACCAATATAATTTTTATACAAAATTTGTAAAACCGGATAGTGCCAATTTACCTTTTATCTATCGTTTTAAATTTTCACTTGAAAACGCTAGCCGCCATGCTGTACAACTCGTGACGTCACTATCCAAGATTTTGCAAAGGAATAAGATACTGTTTAATGTTTAATAATAAGTTATCATCTATATCATTGTTGTGTTGTGCCTAGGGCAGTATTCGTTCGGTTTTACTATTCGAACAGTTCTCGACATACTATTCGAATTATTCGAATACTTTCTACTTAAGGTGTGTCTTTTAACTTATATTAACAGTGTGTCTTTTAACTTATATATAGCACATAATTCGTGGATGTTTTATAGCACACTCACACTTAGGTAGAGATTCAAAAGAAAATAAGACGAACAACATTTTTTTAAATACTTCACAATCAAATAAATTACTATCACTATCAGACTTACTAGATAGACTTTAGTAACAAAAATAATGACAAAAAATCCAAAAGTACACGCCTCACAATCTCATTTGATTATATAAATGGAAAAATATCTCTTTTTCTATATTTGAGACGAAAGAACAGATCCATGAGAATATTTTTTTGTAGAAAAGTACCAGTTGTTTTTTACATTTTCATTAATTACAATTAAACGAGACTAAATTACAGTGATTTTTAAAAGGAACCTGTGCGTTGAGATTCTAAACCTAATAAAAAAGAATTATTTTGATGTATTAATTCTAACGACCGTAATCGTGCGCCATCCGTACATACGGACATCCGGACACCCTCGGAAATTTTTTAAATCAGTTTTTTTTACACTAAATACAGAAAATTACTTTTAAAGATAATAGAAACATGAAAACGAGTGATTTTTCTCGATACATGTGTATTTTTATTATTCTACAAGTGCAATACAGTTAAAAAAAAGACATTTTTAGCTCAGAAAATTACTGGATTTCTATTAGGTGAGAGTAGAGCACAACCTCAACGTTGCTTTAGGCGTGCAATATGCTTCTCTTAAATGTTAAATTTAAGAGAAGAAGAATTTAATCAACTTCTGCAATTTTTCTTCTTTGATATAAATTAAATGAAATAAATTCTTCCATTATTATTCATACACATAAGGTTAACATTTTAAAATTACTATGAAATCTATTTCTATTAGCAAACCAAAAAATTTATCTTTTCAAAATTAAGAAATAAAAATCTGACTTTTCAATATACCTGTATACTTTTGAATAAAAGGTAAATCAATATTTAACAATTGCAAAGTAAAGTTTAAAAAAGTCATTAATCAATACTTCTTGCTTTGATAATATGACCTAAGAAATGAAAGTTAATCTAGAGTGTCATCACTCATCATTTAAGGCGCTACGAAGGTAACTGCATGTCATTCTACATGACGAAAACACTTTTTCAGATTCTACACTTGTTGAAGGAATCGCTGACAAAAAATTATATACCCTCATTAAGGTGAAAGCGCCAGGGTAGCCCGCGAAATTCAAATCTTACGTTTTTTTGCTATTTGCAGGTCAGTGTGAGATTGTATGTTTAAGTAAATATGATTCGCGACGAAATTATACGAACTAAGAGGGTTGTATTGATGATTATAATGATTATAATTCAGTAAATACATACTCGTTACGGTCGCGATCATTTTTATTTCAACACACAGCCTGACACTGACCTGCAAATTGCAAAAAACGTAAGAAAATTTGAATTTCATACTACCTTTGAGATTTCACCTTAAATGAACATTATTTAAAGCTGTTGCGAAGAGTTACTGGTGCTGCCAATAGTGATGATTAAACATATCTTTCTTTTTTAAATTCCGGCCATGTTTTAAAATATTTTTATTATTAAATTCTATTTACCTTTATATTATTTGTAGTATTCGAAATATTCGAATAACTTATTTAAATGAGGAAAACGAATATTCGAATACGGAGCCCTAGTGCCTGAATCCATAAGAACACCGGAAAGTTATGGATTCAATTGCTATGTGATTTATATATTAGAATTACTTTGTTAAAACTGGCTAGAAGATACCCGAATAAATTGTCTACAAAAACTAGACTATTTTTCTATGAAGATAATTTTGATGTAAGTATGACTTATATTTAACTATCGTTTATACAAAACAAAAAATCATGAGGTGAAGGCTATCGCATGTCAAATTTTGTAATAAATTACGTTAACTTAGAATTATTACTAATGATTGCTAATTATTGTAATTATAAATAAACCAAACTATGATAGCTACAAAACTGTTTTATGAAAATACACTCCGACCTGTTATTGTGTATTTGTATAAACAAAAATTGGTAATAGGTACTTACATTGATGTTTTATCATTCCTCAACTCAGCAGAACAAAAATTGGGATTGCATGCAAAAAAATTAGTCACCATATATTTATTTATCCTTGTTAGATTAGTTTGTTCTGCTTTTACGAATTTGTCTTCCATGATGACTTCTCTGTAAAATTCGAAATGAAACTTAATAATCGTAATGATAACTTGCAAAATTTTGAAATAGCACAGGACATTAGCTAGTTCTCTTAATCAGTGACACAGTACACTAATACCCTTAGGCGGGATCGGTGACGTTACAACAGGTTCTAATATGGCGGACAGCGTTTTGCAGATTTGAGGCACTTTTAATTTTATAAATAGAAATCAATATTTCTCGTTGACTTTTTACAAAATTTATCATAAATATATATTTTTTGATTTTTTTACATGGTGTAAAATACCCTATTAATAAACAATTTACTAAATTAATTCATTAACATCATCATTACAGCCCTTTACAAGTCCACTGCTGAACATAGGCCTCCCAAAAGGAATGCCACAAAGCACGGTCCTGAGCCACCTGCATCCATCGACTTCCTGCATGTCTTACGGGGTTGTCACTGCATCTAGTAGGGGGTTGCCGTACACTTCACCGACCGGTACGAGTCTGCCACTCGAGAACATGTTTTCTCCATCGCTTGCCGGTCTTTCGAGCTATATGGCTGGCCCATTGCCACTTCAGCTTACTAATCCGTTGGACTATGTCGGTCCCTCTGGTTCTACTGCGGGTATCCTCATTTCTAAGTTTATCATGCAGAGAAACACCTAGCATAGCCCTCAGCATAGCTTGCTGAGCGACCTTGAGCGTTCTCACATGGTCAGTAGTGAAGGACCACGTCTCAAGTCCATAGATCATCACTGGCAACACGCACTGGTTGTACAATCTCGTTTTCAGGATTTATACCTGACGAGTCGACGATATGACGATATGTGTCGTAATTTCCTGAACGCTGCTCACCCGAGTTGACACCGTCGTTTGACCTCTAGGTCAAAGTTGGACTTACCTAGTCGCACTATTAGCCCCGGGCAAAGAGATTTAAATATATAGAGCGGACATTGCGAACATTTCCATACAAAAACTGTGATCTCGCGCGTGTGTTGTGCCCTCTAGCGAAACAGCAATACTACGTTGAATATTTATTGGGAAAACATTTTAGCTATTACCCATCAGGTTACGCCACTAAATATAAGGTAAAATCCGTTTTAGGCACGTCGTCAATCATTAACACATTAGTAAATAAATAGTGACGTTACTGGATAACAGAGGGCACTTATTACAATAATAATAAATGTTGCGCGCGCATCGCAATGTCGCAGTAATACCGTGATTAAATATCGTGATTATTTGAAATCGCACCATAAATTATTACTTATCCATTAGGTCTTAATAGCTTCCAGGATTGATTGAAAAATTTGCTATGTGCCGCTAGATGTCGCAATAGTAAATTCACGCTCAGTGGCAAAGCCTCCATAGAAGCCGAAAAGCCGGGCTTGCCTTATCAAACTGAATCAATCAATAATATCAACTAATAAAATAACTCGTAAACTGTTTCAAACTATTTATTATTTGAATATCAAATTTCCCGCGCACTCCACTGTTCGACACGGGTCGACGATCCTCGTATTGCCTTAGCGATACTGCTGCTGTCATAAAAAAAGAGTTATGGAGCGTTTAGATGTCTCCCTCGCTCGCGTGGGCTTTTTACGGGGCTTTCGAGAAGACGATCGCTCTCTTTCTAATCTATGGCAAAATATTCTATAATGAAATATAACTAAGATTGAATATATATATCAATTAGTATAGAGATTTAAAGTCAGGCTTTAGGAATGAATTTGTCAAAAGCGGAGGCGCGCGAACAATACGTTTGCAAGATCATTTCACAATTCAATGTTTATTTACTGTGTGTGTTTAGCTTATGTGATTTAATATTGCGAGTTCAAAATTTATGCTTTTTTAAAGATTTTTAGTGAAAATGGAGGATAATAGTGTTCCTTGTGAAGAATTGAAGTGTGTTAAAGTGATAATCGGAGAGGAAAAAGTAAAATCTTTAAACTTTGTTGAGATAATACACAAGGTCAAGAGTGTATTTCAGACTTATCAATTATCGCAATTAAAAAACAGTTATTGGTACAATTAAAACGTTCACCAACATTTTACGTGGACGTAATTAAATCTTTCCTTAAAAAAGCGAGACGATTCCACTTATCTTATCTCTTAACCATTAGAATGTAAATAATTTGTTTTTTTAGTTTTGTACATAGTTTTTTTGTACTTTGTTCATGTTTAACTTTTGTTCATGTTTTATGTTGCTTTCGGTTAAACAAACCCAAACGGCTTTCTTCAAAGCCCCCCGAAGCTATGCAATTGCTTATATGTAATACAATCTATCTAGCAGTAGTTTACCTTCTGTGTGCTTTGTTAAACACGTCCTTGACAGCACTGAATATGAAACTGAAGCGTGGAGACAGATTAAGATTGGTGTATTTTATAAAACTGCTAAAAACAACAATCCATATTTTTATCAATTTATATCTTGGGCTTGCCCTAGTTTGGGGCTCTAGCTTCGCCACTGTTCACGCTATTATAGGTAGTGGTAGGTTGTTGTCGAATTTCTGACGGACGAAACGGTCGCCGTTGCCACTGGTTCGAACACGGCTTAAAGGACGAAACTTATCCAACATGGAATAGAATTGCGTTTTCTTCGAGTGAAATGGTTGCAGTTTCTTACAACTTTCAACGATTTGAAACGTATGAAATGGTTTACTTTACTTAAATAATTCGTTTTATCGATCGACTTTACTAAACAATGAAATGAACTTCCCTTCATACTTTTCCAGGCTTAGGACTGGCTGGGACAGACTTAGCATTGCCATTGACATTAGCGACTATTTCATTGATAGAAAGTTCACTTTTTATGTGTTACCCTATAATTTGCTATATATGAACAAAAATGTTATACGGACATCCAGTACTTGCACATTATCATTAATATATTAGTGGATAAATGGGACTTCACAACACTCGCAGTAATTTTTGTTCAAAATATATTAACAGATTAACCTTAAACAATGAAATAAGGTTGAATATTTTGTCCACATTTAGTCATGTTTCTATGCAAAAAAGGAAAAATCACACGTGCCTTTGGTACGAAACACCTTTTCGAAATATTTTTCTTTTTACTTTCGTTTTTATACTGCTGTAATGTTGTGGCACGAGAGAGAAATGAAAGCCAAGACTGCTGAGTAGATATTGAATATATTTGCAATAATCAATCCTTAAATAGTTACAAGTAGGTTACATTGTGTATATGTTTATATGTAATATGCTTATAGATCCTTACATCTCATCTCCACCGCAATAAAAAAAAATGTACTAACAATTTATTTTATTTTCGCTTATATAATAAGGTATGTTAATACAATTAATCGATCATAATTATAATGTTCTACCATATTGTATAATTCTTATTATCTTTAATGATCTCATAATAAACACCTCCCCCGACACTTAAAAAAAGGAAAGTTATCTATTTTTTTTTTACATTTTAGTTTTCTTGAATCTTATAACGTAATAATTAATTTAATATTGAATAATTTTAATATTGATTTTTAATCTTTTAATACTGAAGAATAAAATACAATGTTACATAGGCTTTAAATGTATATAATTTCTAATTGGAATAATATAAAGTATTTAAATAAAATATAAAACTAACTTCATTAAAAAAATTATAATCTCATGATCATGATCAGATTATACCATGGTTATACATAATTATATTATTAAGTCAATCCGTGATACGCATGCGATTTTATTTCGTTAACCTTTTTTTATTTCGTACGACATTAAGCCTATCGTATTTTTGATATTAATCAACGTCACAACTGCACGTTAATATGAAGATATCACCTAATCATACCATATACTTATTTATATTTTTTTACATTTATTTTTACTCGAGATTTATTACATAAACTATAGTTTCTCTTTTAATATATACAATATGTTTTAGTTAGAAGTTATGATTTAAAAGTTCAAACAATATAAAACTGAAAATAAACTATTATATTTAATATTCACATTTGTATTTATAATTGTATACACTTTATATTTAATTTATTTATACCTTTATATTTGTTTAACTATTGTTTTCGTGATCCACACAAATAGGTTAGACATCAATATTCCATTATATTTTCAGATAATAATGACTTATAAAAGTTAAAAGCATGTGATTTGAAGGTTTAATGAATATAACACCGATAATATTACATTTCATTTAAATATGATAAGAGCAAAAACATAATGTAATGCAACTTAGGTATCATCGCTATCATAATAACGGGAATCAAAATACAACTTGCAATCCCAGCCGCGTAAACGGGCGCACCGACTGGCAGGGTCGCCATGTAATGTCGTACGGTTGTTAAATAAAAGGAAGACGTGTTTCTCTACTCAATACTTTAATTATACTGTTCTTATTCTACACTTAACACAAATATATATAATTTCGTGGAGCCACACTACACTGCAATATTGCACAAAACGGCATATTTTCCCATATCTCACTTAAGCAGCGACATGTTAGCTTACGATATTGCTCGAGTACTTAAGTTTACGGCATGCGTTTAGCACCTTTGCTACTAAGTATAATCACATTTTTTTGTAGGATAGGGTGACAAACGAGCACACAATCCACCTGATATTAAGTGGTTGCTGTAGCCCATATACATCTACAACTTTCCTCGACTACAAATCATAATGCAGATGCGTTGTCACCCGTGAGAACTAATATGGAATGCCTCGTTTCCAGTAAAAAGGGGTCTCCGGTTCTCTACACTCGCCATGCGAAACACAGCTGCATTAAGCTACTATATCACGCTGGTATTCTGTGAGAGCGTGGTCCTTCCCCGGTCGAGCTGACCCATTCGTGCTATAACTATACTACTGATATAACTGCAGCATGTTTTATATTTTACACATTTAATTTCTTTAATTTTAGGTAGTGCCAAGTCTTCAAAGTATGATAAGAAAGAGGCTAGTACATTAAAAGAAGAAAAGAGAAGACATAAAAATAGAGATAAGGATAAGGAGAAAGAAAGCAGTGATAGTTATAAGAGTACAGAACAAAGTAAGTCTTATCTTTTAATTATGATGTTACAAATAAGTGTTCCTTTTAACTCGTTAAGTGCAAGAAAGTTTTTTATAGATTAAGGGTAACAAATAAGTACACAGTCTAGTAACTAGTCCAGCTGGTGGTAAATCGATGTTGTGGCCCATAGACGTCTACATTTATCCTCGATTAAAAATCAAAATGCAGATGCTTTGTCACCCCTGAGGACTGAGATGGAATGCCTTGTTTCAAGCGAAAAGCGTCTCCGGTTCTCTGCAATCATCTGCTATTTTAATAAGCATGAAAGCATGATTCTAACTCGGTCGAGCCGACTCATTCGTGCTACAGACATAATATAGGTGCAGTGTGGCTCTATCACGTAAAAAAGTTAACACTAATTGTCATGCTTAGCAGATAAATTGATGACAGTTCAAGACGTCGTTGCTTCGACGTCGCCTGCCGTTGCCGGTTTGTGCATTTTATATCTTTATCTATGAGAGACCATGAGGTCTTTTTGGCTTGTCTCACTATCGCCTCTTAACAGCACTCAGGGGTGGACTATATGGGGTGATGAATTTTCACCGCCACGTCACCACATGTCAATTTCTATTAGAAAAAGATTTTCACTGATAGATAGTTCGTAGTTATAGATTATTTCGGATTCAGGTTTTGATTGTGCTACAGAACAGAAAAAATAATAAGTAACAAAATAGTAAAATCTAAATGTTGCAATTTTATAAATAATAACCATATAATATATACAAGGGCTTTGATAACAGATTTATTAGTAGTATTGTTAACTTGAGTGTGTAACTTAGTGTATTGTGAGAGCCAAGGTAGCTCAGATGGTTAGCACTCGCTGTAAATTTCACAGTACGCGAGCAAAGCGGGTTCGATCCCCGCCGGCACCAATGAAATTGTTAATTTTAAGTGCTGATTTACCACGTTCTCGGAGAAGGAAAACATCGTGAGGAAACTTGCATGTCAGAGGAATAAGAAAAAAAATATTTCGAAGACATGTGCAGTTCGCCAACACGCATTGGGGCAGCGCGGCGGACTATTCCTTGCCCTAAAACCGTCTGGTAAATGAGCGGAGGCCTGTGCCCAGGAGTGGGACGTATATAGGCTGTAACTTTACTTTACTTTTTACTTTTATTGTTAACTTTGCCTTATAACGCAAGGTCCGTTTCCTCTAGGCTGCGCAACCCTCATCCACGTAGATGTTCCCAACATTATGACAAATGAAGGACCACCCAATTGTGCAATAATTGTATGACAGGACTACATAAAACTACCCTGTTGCTAGATGTTTTACCTTGTGCAATTTATATATAAATAACACTTCCATGATACAAGACAATTCCAATTTTTTTAAAGGCCATCACTTTTAAATATACTGTAAATTTGCTAGCCTTAGGATTTTTACATAATCAATCGCCCCCAATTTAAGAACAGTACTATTTTTTACCAACAACCATCTCACCCTATATTATAAGTTGTTTCAAAAGCTGTTAGTTGGCTAATTATATAAATGTTTGCAGCAAAAGAACAAATAGTTAAGGATGTAGAAAGTACAAAAGAAAGTGTAAAAAGTAATAAAGATAGTAGCAATAATAAGGAGAAAGACAGGGACAGAGAAAGGGAAAAGGAGAAGGAGCGCGAAACAAAGGAGAAAGAAAAAGAGCGCGAACGCGAACGAGAACGCGATCAGGTACATAATGGGTGCGTTTGGCAGAAAAAAGCGCTAGCAAGCGCTTGTAAGCAAAATGGCAATCGTAAGCGGTAAGCGCTGTCAAATCGTAAGTAGCTATTTTCCTCTAGGACATGAACTCAGTTTTAACCGGGGAACCTAACCTAATTTAAATATATGTTTGTTAAGTATTCATATTAAAAACTTACCAATCATGAATTTTTAATAACTTCTATATGTCTATTCATGTCATTATATTACTTAAAACTAACATTGCACAAAATATCTTATAAACTCTACTTCAAAACAAACAAATTAAATAAGCAAAATGGCGGATTGTGTCAGCGCTACTGAAGTAGCAATCGTGTCCTGGCCGAAAACTATTTCAGCGCTTGTAAGCGCTTGCTAGCGCTTTTTTCTGCCAAACGCACCCAATAATTTATTTTATACATTTATTTCATTATCGTGTTAGTTTTCTGTGTAAAAAAGAGAAAAGGTATTAGTTTACAATATCTTTTGGAAAATAAGTTTTTCATAAAATTATGTTCCTATAACCAACTTTCAAGCACTTACACCCTTCCCCCAACATATCAATTAAACTAGTGTGATCACTTCAAGCATTTATTTATTTTTGTTCTTCTGAAACTACAATTATGGCAAATACATCTAACGTGGAAAATATACAAAGAGAACTTGAAGAGAGTTGGACCTTGAAGATGGCAGAGTTTGAGCAAAAACTGAAAGCTGCATCGACTCGCAACTAACCCAACTTTTGTACAGCTCAATGAAGAGTTTTATGCTTTCAAGGATTTAGTTTGTTCTATGCTTAATCTGCGAAATCAGATCAATAATTGTCTCAAAGGTATTGATGCAATCAATATGGGGCAACGGCGAAATGTCCTTTGTTAATGGCATCCCTGAGTCATCAGGATTAGACGTACAGCATGAAGAACTGGAATTGATGCACTCTAAAATGGGTCTCTCACACATTACTGGTACCTGCTTAGAACAATGCCATAGGCTCGGCATACAAAAAAATGATCAGATTAAGCCTGTTGTTGTATTTTTTCACAATCATCATATAAAAACTGAGGTGTGGCATTCTAAAACAAAATTAAAAGGTTCTGCTTTCTCCGTATGTGAATTTTTGACAAGAAAACGACAATCCATTCACACAAAGGCTCGAAAACATTTTGGCATGAGAAATGTATGGACATTCGATGGAGCTATCTACATCAAACATTCCAGTGGCCGTGAGAAGATTACAACTCAAGAGCAGCTCGACGTTTTAATGACAAGGTTTCCAACAGCTAGTCCTTCTGATCACTCTTTGAATGGCGTACCTATGGTCACATCGCATGTAAAGAATAATGGTAAGTCTTCACAATCCAATGTCAATCTGCAGAATAAGGCAGCCCAAGGTAAACAAGTTCTTGCACCAATTCAACGTGAAGACACTAAGTGGTCTCGGCGACACGCAATAAAGAAGTGACATGTGTAACAATAAAGATGGAAGGTGTGTTCTGCTTTCTTTTTAGATATTTTTTGATTGTTTGTGCCATCTCATTGATTTCATGTCATTTGTTCATTTGTTGGAACTGTTTTATTTTTATAATCATTGAATCGTATTTTTTATTTTTTATTTTGTATATTTTGCTTTGTACAATGAATGTTAAAATATACTGTGTAATATAAATAACCAAGTTGTTATATAAGTTTGTTTACTAAATATCACTTATAAGTCTTATTTTTCGTTCTTATTCTGATGTTCTGATTTGTTTCAACATTTGGTATTGTCAACAAATTTAAAATAAGTGTATTGTGTATGATTCAAGTAATTACTTAACAAAAACAAACTTTTGTCTTGTTTACTTACATAAGTTGTCAAATTCCTGCAAAATCTATGGTTAAACCACTTGATGACTTACATTGTGTACCTTAGTTTTTTTTCTTTCTTTATATTATTATTATTTTATTTGCCATGTATACAGCCAACCGGTGGATTGGTGTATGTGAGTGTTTGTTGAACTATTTTAAGATTTTTTTTATTTCGTTTTTTTAATTTATTTATATATTTATGTTAATATATTTAATTATTGTATTATATTAATATGTCTGATGCTGAATCTTTTTATTCAATTTATGATCCAGAACTTTCTTTTTCGTCTTGCAATGACTATGAATGGTAGCTTAATGTCTTTAAATTCTCAAATAGATAATATTTCTTTAACTACTGATGATTTGTGAAATATTTGTCACATGAATGCCCAAAGTATGACAAGTCATTTTTCTGAGCTTGAACATTCATTCTCTTCTAAGTGCGTACATGCAATTCTAGTGTCAGAGAGTTGGCTAAAGCCTTCTTTGCCCTCTACCTTATTTTTATTATCTGACTTTATTCTTATTATAAATTATCGCATTGACGAAAGAGGTGGTGGTGTTGCCACATATTTGCACAAGTCCATTACCTACAAAATAATTTTAACATCTCCACCTACTTACTCTGCCTCCTCTGAGTTCCTGTTTATTCAAATAAATGTCATGGTAAAAAGATGATTCTTGGAGTAGTGTATTGCCCCCCTGCTATTGAAATGGCTTTAGAAAATTTTGGTTCTGAGTACGAACACTGTATAATTAATCATGGGTGATTTCAATACTAATATACTCAAGGTTTCTTCTCGGTCTCAAAAGTTTTGTTCAATTATTGAGTCTGTCAACCTTCACATTTTTCCCTTAGGGGCTACTCATCGCAATATAGACTGTGATGACTCATTGATTGATCTTATTATTACAGCTTCTTCTGATCATGTAATTAATCATGGTCAAATTACCGCTCCGGGTTTCTCAGTACATGACCTAATATACGCTTCTTATAAGCTTAGTCCTCCCCAAAACTACTTGTAATATTTTGCAATTACGTAATTTCAAAAGAATAAACCCAGATAATCTCAGGAAAGACGCTTCTAATTTAAATTTCGATCCTTTAAGGAACGCATCTACAGTTGATGAAAAGATATCTTACCTTAATAATACAATTCTTAGCCTGTATGATGCTCACGCTCTGATTCACAAAGTTAGATTAAAGCGTGCTACTGCTCCTTCATAAGGTGTTCGGGTGGCAATGACTAGACATGGCTTTCCTTCGTTTTAGAAGGGAACAAACGGAGGAAAATTGGCTAGCCTTTAAGTTCTGTAGAAATCGATGCAATCAGATGTTTGCAGACGCTTCGCCAGTCGTTGTTTGAAAATGTCTAAAACTTTTTGGAGTGGGTAAGGTACCTTCCCAGGATTGCGGTTATTCTCTTTCTCTCAATAACTAGAATCTGCATTTTGTTTCTGCTACAGCAATGGACCCTGCAATTCATTCTCAAACAATAGCTTATTTGGCTTCAATCCAATCTTCTCACACCTCAGTTTGTCATTTCTCACCGTTTCATAAGGATGAAGTTAGACTGCTGGCAATCAAATCCAGGGCCGTGGGTTGTGATGAAATCAGTAGAGATATGATAGTGAACATCTTAGAATATTTGGTACCAGCTGTAACGCATATTATAAATTTCTCTAGACTCTGGACAGTATCCAACCCCTTGCAAAAAGGGCTATGTACGTCCCCTTCCTAAAGTTTCGAACCCCGTACTCCCTAACCATTTCCATCTAATATTTATCTTGCCCTTTCTTTCCAAAGTAGTTTTAGAGACCTGTATATATAAGCTAATCTCCAATTTCATATCAAAATATAACCTAGAGTGCTTATCAGTCTGGTTTTCGCTCCGGTCACAGCACCATCACTGCTTTGCTAAAAGTTACTGAGGATATAAAACACGGAATGGATACCAAAAAAGTAACAGTGATGGTGTTAGTAGACTTTTCCAATGATTTTAATACAGTCTATCATGATTTACGATATACTCCTATGTATCCTGTCCCATCTTAAATTTGCACCCTAGGTCTTGAAATGGTTTTCCTCGAATCTTCGTGACCGCCAGCAATGAGTTCACGTACATGGAGGAGACTTCCCAGTGGTTAAGCGTTGATTCTGGTGTGCAGCAAAACGGAATTCTATCTTCCATATTATTTTCAGTTTTCATTAACTACATATCCTCCGTCATTGATTGTTCGTACCATCTATAGGCAGACGATCTCCAAATATATGTGCAATTAGATATCGGTAATCTACATGATGCTATCAGCTAAACTAAACCATAATTTGAAAGCCATTTTCAAATTATGGTTTAGTTTTATGATAGTGTTATCAATATTACTGGTCATCGCGTTTTGGTATTTCAGTCAATCCAACTAAATGTCAAGCAATGCTTGTGGGTAGCTCAAGACTATAATACCCCAGGATTATCTTACAAGAGTTATGTTTTACCCAAAAATGTTACAAGGATACCGGAAAGATCCCCAAATCTTCTATAAATTTTCATGGACTGATGAGTCAACATTTAAAAAAGATGGTTACATGAATCTACACAACTTACACAAGTGGCATGTAGAAAATTCACGTTTAGTGAGACAAGTTAGATCACAGTATTGTTTCAAAATAAACGTGTGGACTGGAATTTTAAATGGAAAAATCATTGGCACCTTTGAGCTGCCAGAAGTCTTGAATGGCGAAGTTTATTTGGCTATTTTACAAAATCATTTACCAAATTTGTTGGAAGACGTGCCGCTAAGTATTTACAAAGACATGTGGTTCCAGCAAGACGGCTGCCCGGCACACTATGCGCGCTCAGTTAGAAAATATCTCATGAAGAAATACCTGGACAGATGGATAGGGCGGTCTGATAAAATCTCGTGGCGAGCCTGTTCGCATGATTTAAATTCACAATTTTTTTTACTGGGAAGTGCTGAAAGAAAATTTTTATTCAAAGTCAATCGAAAACTAGCTTAATTACGGCAAAAAATAACGGAAGCAGTTGAACTTGTTAATAATAATACTGATAAGGCTAACACTATCGCATTTTGGCGTGGCCTGTGGTCAGAGCCCGTAAACCACAGCGAGGGCCCTTGGATAGAAGTTGTGGCGAGCCAGAATGCGAGTGTTACGCCTATGGACCCCGTCACCATAACGCCGGAAGACGTGGCTGAGGCGGTCCGTAGGGCCCCAAACTGGAAAAGTCCGGGGTCGACGAGCTGCATTGTTACTGGCTGAGTACAGTTTCAAGAGGCTCTCGATCAGAAGTCGCTCCCGAGCCTCTTCACTACTGGGATCACTCACTTGGTTTCTAAAGATCAGGATACCACAGACCCGAGCAAATACCGCCCCATCACGTGTCTACCCACCATATATAAGACACAGACTTCTCCGCCGCCTGGATAGACTACAGAAAGGCATTCGACTCGGTGCCCCATACATGGCTAAAGAGAGTCCTCGACCTGTACAAGATAGACTGTACAGTTAGAGACTTCGAGCAGTGTCTGGGGCAGTGGAGTACGATCACAGCTCTGGGCGAGCGGATGATGGCTGCGGAGAACCACATAAGGATAAGAAGGGGTATCTTCCAGGGCGATTGACTCCAATATGGTTCTGCCTCTCTCTGAACCCTCTCAGTACTTTACTGGAGGGATCCGGGAGGGGATTTCAGCTACGGAAAGGAGGGACAAAAGTGACCCACCTTTTCTGTATGGATGACCTCAAGTTATTTGCCTCCAGTCGCTCGCATCTTATGGAATTGCTAAACATCACTTGTGAATTTAGCAATTCTATTAGAATGGAGCTGGGGACGGATAAGTGTGCGGTCCTCCATGTTGAAAGGGAAGGGTTGCTAACTCTGAGGGCATAGATTTATCTATGCCCGTCAACTTAAGGACCTTTTCCGAGGCTGAAACATACAGATACCTGGGTATGTCACAGAACATCGGTATCGATGAGGCTGGTATGAAACAGTCAGTTTGCGACGTGTTTTATGCACGCTTGACCAGAGTGCTTAACAGCCTTTTGTCCGGTGTGAATAAGACACACTCATATAACGGTTGGGTTATGCCTGTCCTCATGTATACCTTTGGCATACTCCGGTGGACTCAGACTGAACTTAACGCCCTGGATAGAAAAGTCCGCACTACCGTGACGTCCCATAGGATGCATCATCCGAGATCGTCGGTAATGAGGCTGTACTTGCCGCGAAAGCATGGTGGGCGTGGCTTTCTGAGCGCGCTCACCATGCATAATCGCGAAGTGTGCAGCCTCCGTCATTACTTCCTGGCGAGATCGGATGTTCCATTCTATAATGACGTCATTTCTAGTGATAAAGGGCTTACCCCTCTATCCTTACCCAACGAGCAATGGCAGGACCCAGCAGTGCTTAGCATTTCCGACCGGGAGGCCGTATGGAAGGAGAAAGAGCTCCACGGGAGGTACTACAGGGCTCTACATGAGCCCTCCGTAGATACAGCCGCCTCCCTCAACTGGCTACGTTTCGGTGACCTCTTCGGGGAAACCGAGGGTTTTGTCTGTGCAATTTCAGGTTATTAAGACCAACAACTATCGGAGATACGTCCTAAGGGATGGCACCGTCGACGTCTGTCGAGCTTGTCACCATCCCGGTGAGTCGCTTAGGCATGTCATCTCCGGTTGTTCGGCGCTTTCTAACTCAGTACTTGCACATACACAACCTAGTAGCCAGAATTCTACACCAGGAGCTCGCTCTGAAATACGGTCTCGTGGACCGGAAATTGCCGTATTACAAGTACTTTCCGGAAGCCGTGCTCGAAAATGACCGCGCCAGGCTCTACTGGGACCGGGTCATCATCACAGACAGGACTATTCTTGCGAATAAGCCTGATATTGTGCTGATGGACCGGACACAGTCAAGGATATTTTTGGTCGACATTACCATTCCGTATGACGAGAACCTCGTGAAAGCCGAAACAGATAAGTGTACAAAATATCTGGAACCTGGCTCACGAGGTGACTGACATGTGGGGTGGTCTGCCGGCCGAAATTATTCCTGTAGTCGTCTCTGCGAATGGGCTAATCCCAGTCAGCCTCTCGGGTCATCTGAGGCGACTGGGACTCCGTGACGGACTGCTCCGGGCTCAAATGCAGAAGGCAGTGCTCCTCGATACCGCCCGCATCGTCCGCCGGTTTCTTTCCCTTTCCTCCTAACCCTCGGCCGTCTGGTCTCCCCTGCCGAGGGCTTCCATTTGGTTGGATCTTTATTTATTTATGTATTTTTTGTATTTATTTTATTTTATTGATATTTATGTATATTTATCTTTTCATTTTAATTTATAATTATATATTTATAGAACCCAACCAGATGAAAAAACTATATATATACCTCAATACTGATAATATTTTCATTGGCCAATCTTACCAATATTAAGCCATATTCATGCCATTATTATGCCATAAAATCAGTTGAGTCAGAAGATTTTTCTATTATATCTCCTATGTGTAATGCAGACATAGCAGCTAATGAATTTGTTAACATGTTATCATCTGCTGTAAAAAATAACAACAAAAATTAAGCTATCTAGAACTATACCTACTAGTACTACCCACTACTACCTTTATCACCGTAATAAATTACGACAAAAATTAGAAAAGAATCCTAATAGTGAGATACTCAAAATATCTTACAAACGGAATATGAACTTTTGTAAATCATTATTGGGAAACCTGAAACGCCAACATGAAAAATATCTTTTAAACAGTGCCAGAAGGACGTAATAATAGAAATAATTACGCCGATAATCTAATTAGGGAAAATCGTACCGTCGTTAAAAAATTTGCAGATAAAATTTGATTGCGCTTCTTTGTATTTGTCCATGAGTGTATGGTCTATTATTTATTTTATCTGTCGCGTGTGCGCAGCGGGTGGCGCGTGAGTGTGGCGAGGAGCTAAAGCGAGCTCGTGCGGAGCTGGCGGCGGCGCGCTCGGGCGAGGCGGAGGCGCGGCGCGCGCTGGCAGCCGCCGCCGCAGCGGAGCGGCAACGCCGCGCTGAGCACACGCAGCTGCGCCAGGCGCACGCCGCGCTGCAGAACAAGTGAGTGTGTGTGTGTGTGTGTGTGCGTTTGCGCGTGTGCGTGCGTGCGTGCATGCGAGTATGTGTGTGTGTGCTGCGTACTTGCATGGTGTAGTCAAGGTTGAATATGCAGGATAATAAATGGATAAAAGCACCTGTCTGAACCTTGACGCCGAGTCGTAATGTAATTTACAACATATCGACGTGGCGCAGTTTAAAAAAAAACGTACATTGTATGTATTTTGAGAGAATGTTATAAGTAAATGCACCATGTATTTTTTAGATCCAAATTTTTATACTGAACTAATGTAAAATTCATACAACACCTCAGTCCCCACTGATAAAATCCGTCCTAGTAATTTTATTCCATGATGTCAAATTACTTTTCAAGTTCAGTTTCGCCATTGCGGTATATAACCGTCCAGACAATTATTACACAGACAATTATTCATAATATATACTATGCGAAAACCTTACTTTACGAAAACCTCTCAAAAGCAAAGAGCTCGTGGGCGTTGCTTTTTTTATCTTAAATTCTAGTCTGAGCCAATGACGCGATTTAGCACTGTAGTGCGTTGTAGTAAGGTGTTATTTGGTGTACAGAGTATCGACGTGGCGCGTGTCGGAGCGCGCGTCGCTGGAGCGGCGGCTGTCGGAGGAGAAGCGCGCGCGGGCGGCTGCCGAGCAGCAGCTGCAGCGTGCCAGGAACTCCACCCGCACGCCCAAGTACATATCAATTTAGAGAAATAATTACATCACCTAAGGTTGCAAAGGGTTAAAGGTTTTAATGTTACTATTTAGAACACATTAAGTTTGTGATATTCCTTCCTTAGTCCATTGAAAACGGTATAAAAAATAACTTCTTTGTAATCAGCTTCTACTTTTTCTTAAAAGTTAATTTCTTATCTGTCCAAATATCAAATTTAGCTTATTAATTTTGACAGCTCACGCCTGTGAACTTTCGTATTTTTTTTAGATAAACTGGATGGGTACCTCTTACGATAGTGATGTGCCACGCTATTATTGGTAAAATATGTTCTAATATAATGCTTCTATTACGTGACCGCGGGCATGAATTCATGCAGCTGTATCTCGCTGCTATTTTCATCTTAATTAATATACAAAGACAGTATGTTATTAATTACTATTCCATTTCATTCCAAATATTTCATTCGATCCTGAGAGAACTAAAGAATTATAATCACTCGGTTACATGAACAAAATCAATAATAATTGATATTCGCGTTCGCGTTGTTAGTGCTGTTAGTTACGTAATTGTTATCTTTTGTATATTTGTGATTTTAGTTGGATTTTATCTTAAAAAAAAACGGTATGTAATATTAATTATCTTTACTTTATAATGTTTTTCAATGAAAACAAAAGTATTTTTTTATTTCAATTTATAAACATTAAAAACAAAAGCTATAAATGATGAAACAAATGCCGCGCGTCGAGATGATGTTAGGGCGGTATAAAGCCGTTTTTTGTTGTAGCGGGTGCGGTTAAGGAAGGGTTAACGGTTCTGATTGCGTGTCAGCTGTTATTCTGAAAAAAAATGGAAATCAAAAATAGTATTTATTGACTTCAAGATTGTGGCAACGCAACAGCCTGTCATCCTACTGTCAGTCAGCCATTTTGTAATCAGTACGAGGTACGAGTTCTGACGCTGCGCCATTAGTGCCTTCCTGCTGTCTACAGTTTTTGTTGAGCTTTTTGTTAAGTTTATGTTATTTTTGGTTACGAAATGCCGAAAAGAACGGAAATGACTGTTTTGTATAACGAATGTCGCGAATTTGTGGTTCGCTTGCGAGAACATTTTTAACGTGACCATTGTTGCCTGTAACCCAAGTTGTCGGATATCCTTGGCATCGGTCGTGTGACGGTGTCATGTATAATGCAAGTAAAGTATGGGAAGTCATCATCAACTCAAACGATAGAGGAAGACACGGAAAAAAATTGTCGACATCGAATAAGAATAGGAGAGTTTCGAGTATCACTGCGATTTATGACTTTAATGCCGTCGCAATACGCAACCATGTATACGCGTATTATAGACGTGCCGAATATCCAGCATTAAGAAAATTAATAGTGTCCCTTAAATGATATGATGGTGGCCCTTTTTTTCATCCTACCCTTTGGTAACAGATTATTTTCTGGACAGATGATCCCAATAAATTCGTTACTGAGTCTGTAATGCTTCAGGGGAGATGAAACTTTTGATCCCGTCATCCGTAGTGCCTACCGGCGGCAGATCCCAGTATTCGTTTGGAAGCGTCTGCAAATCTGCGCCGCGACAAAAGCGGGAGTCTTTCAAGGCCTTGGCTGACGCATCGGCGTCCCGGTCCGTCCGTCTACCATTAGCGCACTCAAAAAGAAATACAACTCTGCCTCCAGGTCTTTCAAAAGAGATCGTTAGGGCAAAGTCGGAGCACATTGGGAAAGTGCGAAGAAACTAATTAACCTTCCTTCTAGACCTCGTGCGTTCTTATCCTTCGGCAAAGCTGCCCAAGGGAATTTCTGTAAACGTTCATTATCATCTTTGCGCAAGAAGGATGACTCTCGCTTGGCCATGCCGCAAATGAGAAAGCCGATCTCTTTTTGCGTCCTAACTTGACTCTTGACGACGCGACGGGGGAATTATACCGCCGACAATCTCGCACTCCATGCCGAATGTAGTGTTTACATAGCGCTCGGTGCGCAAAGCACTTGTCCCTGGACGTCCACAAGTCGAGTGGGCCTGATGGAATCCTCCAAATTCTGATGAAGACGTGTGCTCCAGAATTGGCATCGGTTCTCACACGTCTTTTCCGGTTCTCTTACCGGCTTAGTGCACACGATGCCTAGAGAAGGACAACCCTCGGACCCGTCCAACTCTCCCATCGCTATCACCTCCTTGTTCTCCAAAGTAGCATCAGCTGGTTAGTGACCGTCAATACGGTTTCCGTCGAGGTCGCTCAGTTGGTGGTCTTTTTTTCTACCCGACTCACCGATAACCGATGGGCGGAGGCAGTCGATACCAAGGGGGAGGCCATGGTGGTTAGTTTGGACGTAGCGAAGGCCTTCGGGCGGGTTTGGCATAAAGCGCTTTTTTCAAAGTTTCCATCTTATGGGCATCCCGAGAAATTATGCAATTGAGTCACTAGTTTTCTCACAGTCTTTGTTGAACAAAGTCTCGAATTGGGGCGACTAAAGCTTAATCAGGTCAGGACAGGTTTGTGTGTTTACCGCAAAAAATAAACCCTTTGTCTCCTCGATTTCAGGGCACTCCCCTTCTTACCACAGTCAGCATCGGAATCCTTGGCGTCGATATTTCGAGACCGTGCGGTTTTGTAGGCACTCGGAAAGGAAGGATAAACTGGCATCAAAAAATAGGAATCATTAGAATAGTGTTTCCCCAATTTAGAAACTGCTTTGCGTATTTTTTGTCTCTTATGATCAATAAATGCAGTGGTGCATGTTCATTTTCGACATTGAACCGTATAAAAAATTAATTTAGCGAACACTATTACTCAAGAACGCTTAAGTTATATAGTATATTGTTATTGGTTAGAAAATATGATACGGATAGTATTATTTATAAATTTGCCCACATGAAATCTAGAAAAGTTATTTCGTAAGTGTTTCTAAAGTAATCAAAGAAACATAAATATAATGTATAATAATATAATTTCATAATTTAAGTACACCATTAATTAAATATAACATTAGCTATTCTTAAAAATATAATATACTTTGATATAAAGATAAACTTTGAAATATGTACTAAATTTACAATTATTTGTTAGTATAGTCAGTTTTAAACTGTTAGTTTCAAAAGCATTCTAAATTACCAGGACAATCTCACTTCTGACTTTTTGTACTTTCCAGAGTCTAACAAGGCCTATAGTAAACTACTGTACTATCAAACAAAATTGTTACCTATAGATCGCAAATAAACTTATTGAGTATTGAATTGTTTTTTACCACTTTATATTTGAAAACCTTTAGCAGATCAAGGGCCCTTCTATATAATTTGCTACGAGCCCTGCACATGCTTAACCCCCGGGTTAAGCATGTGCGGGGCACTCGCTACTGGGTAAAAAATACCACAGAGTACTTAAATTCTAAGCTAACTTTTTTTAAAGCGCTCGAGCAGATCGCAATTCTAGGTACCTTCAAGCTGAAACATATTCCATGCGCGGGTCACGGGGCAGCCAGTTTGCGCGCGGTGTTTAGCGAAAATGGACGTATAAAGTGCGTAAGGGTAAAAATTACCCAGTAGCGACTGTTTTCGTTATATTATTTTCGATTTGCTAATAAACATTTTTTTGTAAAAGAGCTTTTTCACGATGTCTTGTCCACTAAAGGAGAATAAAATAGCACAATTGCTAGAAGAGGAAGACGATGAAGAAGAAATTGTGTCGGAAAAAGAAGATTTCGAAGAACAGAGTGAGCATGAAAGTGAAACGGAGCAGGAAACAAGTGATTCAGACACACCCTCAGATTCAGAAGAAAATTTCCACCCTCATTGGCCATTAGAATTAGATCAACAGACTGAAAATGAAGGGATTTATAAAGAATATTTGGAAGATGTGCCATTGAAGTATCGTAGACTAGGGAAATTTATTGGAAAAGACAAAAGAACTGAGTGGCGAGTCCGTGAGCCACTACGTCGTGTGCGAACGAGATCTCATAATATTATTCTACACTTGCCGGGTCCCATTGGTGAAGGAAAACGTTGCTCGTCTATGTTAGAAGCCTGGGATCTTATTTTTCCAGAGTCTTTCCTACAAAAAATAATCCACTATACAAACATGTATATTTAAAATTTGAAATCTAACTACTCACGATAATGTGACTGTAAGCAAACGAATATAATTGAAATAAGAGTTCTTTTTGGATTACTTTATTTGTGTGGACGACTGCGAAGTGGTCATCTAAACACAAAAGATCTCTGGTAAAAGTATGGAAGTGGTAGCGATATATGTATTGCCGCTATATCACGCGAAAGATTTCATTTTTTACTAAGAAGTTTACGTTTTGACGATATTCATACAAGAGCTGAAAGAAGGCAGACAGATAAGCAGGCGGCTATAAGAGAGGTTTTTCAAGAGATCAACGATAACATAAAAAAATACTATGTTGTGGCCGAAAACGTGAAAATTGGCGAAAATCTGGAGAAAACTCGTGGTAAATATATACCGAGTAAGCCTGGGAAATACGGTATAAAAATTTTTTTGATGGCTGCCACGCGAGGCTTCTATACAAATAATTTAGAAGTTTATGTTGGAAAAAAATGAAGGGTCATACGATCACAGTAATTCACGAGGCAATGTCGTCAAACGTTTGGTAGAACCTATAAAAAACAGCCATAGGAATATCGTGACGGACAACTGGTTCAGCAGTTTCCCGTTGTTGCGTGATTTGTATAACGATTATGGGTTGACAGCGCTCGGAACGTTGATAGGGAATAAGGCTGAAATTCCGCCAGTCTTTACAAATACTCCGGGTCGGGTAGTTCACACCTCAATTTTTGGGTTTCTTGTGTTTTTGGGTTTGGTTGGCTGTACTGTGGTGTCTTACGTCCCAAAGAAAAAAAAAGTAGTTTGACATCGACCATGACGCCAAAAAAAGATCCAGGAGAAGAAAGAAAGCCCGAAATGATAATAGATTACAACGCGAACAAATGTGGTGTCGATGTTGTGGATGAGATGTGTGCTACCTGCTCAGATGCACCGACAACCAGAAGATGGCCGTTAGTAGTTTTTTATGGGCTTTTGAACATCGGCGGCATTAATGCGTACGTTATTATAAAAGCAAATAAAGAAAATAATGGAACTGTGAAGGCTAAGAGAAGAATCAGCCTGAAAGACCTAGCTTTGGGACTTGTGATGCCACAAATAAAAAGGAGGACCACAGTTCATTTGTCACCATATATAAAATAAAGTTTATCCTTAGTGCCAACTTAAATGAAGAATCCCCATTCAAGACCCTCTACAGCTTTCACTTCAGCATCTCGCTTTGCAGTATGTGTATGGAAAAAGGACCGGAGAACGAAGACACTGTGAATTGTTTTGCAAAGAGCATACGACTCCAATCTGTGGCGAGTGTTTTGATAGAGTAATTTTGATTGGCGTTGACATTTTGAAGCAAGCTATTTGATGATGATTTTCTCAAACTTCGCTTATTATAAAAGTATAATTATTTTGTATTCATTTTGTAAGGCCGTATGTCTATTTTAAATATAGATCTCAATTTTGCATGATTCTTAAGAAAAAAGTATTTTTTGTTGTTTTTGTTAAGAATACAAAGAATTATTAAAGTTTTTGTTATTAATTAATAATTAGGCCTCGTTTAAAATAAAAGATGACTACAATTTGTAGTTTTATTCATAGAACATAGTGTAAATAAAGTTAATACATAGTCAAAATTTAAAATGTTACGAATTTCTTTAAATTATGTCAAACTAATTCATTGGTATTTTTCACCCAGTAGCGAGTGTTCGTGTCAGTAATTACCTAGCGAGTACCGCCGGGTTAATCCGGCACTGGTGAGTGTAGAGAACTAAAGAACCTTTTTACCGGAAATGAGGCATATTCTATCTTAGTGACAACACATTTGACATTAGGTGGATTGTCCGCTTGTTTCTCACTTATACTATTATATAAAATTTAAATTTTTACCCTTATTTGAGTTGAATTCTTTTAATGTAATTATGTACCGACCGTTGATGTCGGAAAATCTGTTCAAGAACACAGGACCTATATTTAATATAAAGTAGTGCCAGTGTGACGTTTTTAACGTTTGATTGGGGAGTTTTGGCGGGAACTGGACCGTCGACGGATTGTCGATCTTGTTTTATCGTTTAAATAATGGTTTGAAGTGGGTTTTGTTATATAAAGTTGATGAGATTTTGTGTATTAAGTGTTGCGCGTGTGAACTTATTACAAAAATCGTCGAAACAAGTGTTTTGATGTTGATATAAACCTCAAGTTATTTTGATTGCTTAGGTGCCTTGTGAACTTGAGTGACTGTCGTCATCGACTGTCCGATGGGTTGAGCAGTCGTTAAAATCTCCCAAAAACTTCGCAGTGTGACGCATCAGCATATTGTGAAGAAAAATCTATAAAAACGAAACTTGTACTTTAAGTAATTAAAAAAAGTTTAATTGTAGAGAGAAATTGATTTTATTTAAATAAGACTACTTATTAAAAAAAATCAATTTCTCTCTACAGTTAAACTTTTTGATCATTATTTTAATAAAGCTAAATAACGCCACATTAATACATCCCACCCAGCTGAATCCGGGGCGGATTGTTGGCATTTTATAAAAGTAGTGTCTTGTAGTCATCTGTTAACATATACAAAATATGTGTGGCGTGACTTTGGTGTGAGGTTGGCCCGACGTTGATGGTCGTTGTTAACGTTGAGTGTGGTGTGTGGTAGCGGCGAGTGCAGCAGCGCGGGGTGCGGTGCGCGGCGCGCGGCGCATGAGGCGGAGGCGAGCGCGCTGCGCCACGAGCTAGCGGCTGCGCGCGCGCAGCTGCAGCAGCTGCAGCATGACCTGCAGCAAGCCAACGACCAGGTGACACCTCGCCGCAACACCTATACCTGTTCAGAGCCGCGGCACAAGCGTAGCTCTTCCACCTGGTTGACACCTCGCCGCACAACGCTTTACAGCCATGGGGCTGTTTACGTAGCCACACCGCAGCGCGAATAGTGCGGCTCCCCGGGTTTGATCCCCCTCGGTACCAATAAAATTAGTAATTAAAATTGCAATTATCAATTTTAATTACTAAATTACCACGAGGTGAAGAATTACATCGTGAGATATGTAGGTTGTCTGAGAAATTTAAAAAATGTAGACAATATGTCTACAGTGTTGGAGGACTTCATATTGTGAAGTCCTTCAACACACGTTCATTTTCCCTAACCCCTCAGAAATAAAAGGTGGCTCGTATCGGGTAGTGAAACATTCATATGAAACTTACTTTATACTGGCTACGATTGTCTTTTGTATGCGGGTATCTAATGTATTACAAGCATTGTTATACAGGACTTAAATGCTTTACATATTTTGTGTGTAACATAACGTCCATGACAGTTAGCTGGTTTGATACTCTTATATTGTAAAATAATTGGCCGCCATGGAACACCTGGCAGATGTACATCATATCGGAAGGTAGTATTTATAATTAATGAAAACCAAAAAATAAATGAAGTAAAGTAAATAAAAAAGTATTTTCTGGTCGAATAGAAAGGCACACGTAGTACACAACTCACACAGACAAGCAACGAAATTTTATAGTACAAGGCACGATGGCACAGGCATGACACAAGGGAATCATGCCGTGTGCCGTCGCGTCATACGAGTGGGTTTAATTTGCAAAAGTGCGCCAATAGACGTTCCACGTTAAAAATACACGATGGACCTACGAGCCGGATAAAAGTTCTTCGAGCCTGATAATGGTCCTTCGAGCTTGATTATGGCCCATGGAGACGGATAAATGTTCTGTAATACGCAGGTGCGGTCACTGGAGGCACGGCGCTCGGAAAACGGGTCGCCGCTACGGCTGGCAGAAGCGTGGCGCGCGCTGCAGGAGCGCGCGACGCACCTTGAGAGAGCGCTCTCCGCCGAGACGCGCGTCAAGCTCGACCTGCTGTCCGCGCTCGGAGACGCCAAGCGTCGTCTACACATACAGGAAGGTACGTGAGCTCAGCGCGCTCTCCGCACATACAGAAAGGTACGTGAGCTGAGAGCGCTCTCCGCCGAGACGCGCGTCAAGCTCGACCTGCTGTCCGCGCTCGGAGACGCCAAGCGTCGTCTACACATACAGGAAGGTACGTGAGCTGAGCGCGCTCTCCGCACATACAGAAAGGTACGCGAGCTGAGCGCACCCTCCGCCGAGACGCGCGTCAAGCTCGACCTGCTGTCCGCGCTCGGAGACGCCAAGCGTCGTCTACACATACAGGAAGGTACGTGAGCTGAGCGCGCTCTCCGCACATACAGAAAGGTACGCGAGCTGAGCGCGCCCTCCGCCGAGACGCGCGTCAAGCTCGACCTGCTGTCCGCGCTCGGAGACGCCAAGCGTCGTCTACACATACAGGAAGGTACGTGAGCTGAGCGCGCTCTCCGCACATACAGAAAGGTACGTGAGCTGAGAGCGCTCTCCGCCGAGACGCGCGTCAAGCTCGACCTGCTGTCCGCGCTCGGAGACGCCAAGTGCCGTCTGCACATACAGGAAGGTACGTGAGCTGAGCGCGCTCTCCGCACATACAGAAAGGTACGCGAGCTGAGCGCGCCCTCCGCCGAGACGCGCGTCAAGCTCGACCTGCTGTCCGCGCTCGGAGACGCCAAGCGTCGTCTACACATACAGGAAGGTACGTGAGCTGAGCGCGCTCTCCGCACATACAGAAAGGTACGTGAGCTGAGAGCGCTCTCCGCCGAGACGCGCGTCAAGCTCGACCTGCTGTCCGCGCTCGGAGACGCCAAGTGCCGTCTGCACATACAGGAAGGTACGTGAGCTGAGCGCGCTCTCCGCACATACAGAAAGGTACGCGAGCTGAGCGCGCCCTCCGCCGAGACGCGCGTCAAGCTCGACCTGCTGTCCGCGCTCGGAGACGCCAAGCGTCGTCTACACATACAGGAAGGTACGTGAGCTGAGCGCGCTCTCCGCACATACAGAAAGGTACGTGAGCTGAGCGCGCCCTCCGCCGAGACGCGCGTCAAGCTCGACCTGCTGTCCGCGCTCGGAGACGCCAAGTGCCGTCTGCACATACAGGAAGGTAGGTACTTTAGTCACGCATGAAATTTATAATATTTTATATTTTTTAAAGAAATTTAACATTTATTGAAACAATGTTATATAAAGAACAATAGAACTTTAATTAGTAACATCTTTTAGAATACATTATATTACAAACAAAACATTAAATCATTTGATCAATGAATACAAAAAAAAAAATATTTGACATATACTTACTTACTTACTTACTTATCTTCACGCACTATCCCTAACGGGGTAGCCAGAGAGAACAGATCGCCAAGTGTCACGATCCTTACATACCTCTTTCGCTTCTTTCAGGTTCATTAACTTCTTCATACATGCACGTCTAGGTATGCGAGTACTCTTGACCTTCCCCTCTTCGAGCAATTTGCTCACATGGTCTTCGAAAGTTAGTCTCGGTCTACCTCGACACCTTTTAATATTTACTTTCGCTCTATATATTTTCTTCACCATTCGGTCTTCACTCATTCACTCAACGTGCCCAAACCATTGGAGTACGCCCCTATCAATTTTTGTGATAAGGTCAACTTTCAATCCTGCCATATTGCGAATCTCTTCGTTTCGCTTTCGATCGGCTATGGTAACGCCACACATTTTACGAAGAGATCGCATCTCCACTGCATTCAACTTGCTTTTATGCTTCTTCTGGCATACCCAGGTTTCGCTGCCATATAACAAAGTCGGTACCAACACTGAGTTATGTATTGCAAGGCGTGCACTCTTCACCACGCCTTGCCTTTTTGACTAATGCATTCAGGGCACCATTGACTTTGTTTCCGGCAGCGACGCGCCTATCCACATCTAAATCACATCTTCCATCCCGGCTGAAAGCACTCCCCAAGTATACAATTTCATTTACCTGTTCTAGACGTTCCTGATTTACCCATATTTCACATTTCGTTCTCTCTTCGTCCTTTTCAAATACCAGAACCTTAGTTTTATTAGCATTCAAACGGAGACCTTTAATTTCACATTCCTCTTTCATACATGTGACTAATTCCTGCAGTTCTGCTTCTGATTGTGCAATAAGCACTGCATCATCAGCATACAGCAGACAATTTACTTTTATGTCACCCAATTTCACACCCAAACAGCTATTTTTCAGCTTCTGTAAACAGCTGTCGAGATACAGTATGAACAGCCAGGAAGACATGACACAACCCTGTTTTACGCCCGCTTGGACGCTAAACATGGGTGACAGGTCATGCCCTAGCCGCACACAGGCTTTACAGTCATAGTAAAGTGACCTTAGCAATCGACCATCCACACCATATCCCTGCAACAGTTCCCACATTTTCTTCCTTATAACCTTATCAAATGCTTTCTCCAGATCCACAAAAGCACAGAAAATCCTCTGGTTAACACTCAGAAGCTTTTCTGTGATCATGCGGAGAGAAAACATTTGATCCGTGCATCCTCTTCCAGGTCTAAATCCGCATTGTGCCTCCCATAAGAATCTTTCAGATTTCTCTTGCATCCTACGTGTCAAAACCTTCGAGTAAACTTTACTTGCTAAACTGGTCAAGCTGATCGCCCGATAGCACCCGCAGTCAAAATGTGAACCTTTACCTTTATATAAAGGTACAATGACCGCGGATCGCCAATCATCCGGGACATCTCCCGTCCGCCAGCACAAGTTGCACAGCAGACGAAAGCTGTCCCAGACGCGAGGCCCACCGTACTTGACCATTTCAGCAGTAACTCTGTCTAGTCCCGCAGCCTTACTACATTTCAAACTTCAAATCGCACGTTCAGTCTCTTTCATGCTGATGACCTCAGTGTAATCGATCCGTGTCTGGCGTGCTAGTCATGGCGCTACCCCCGGATCCTTCACTAAGATCATGACACGCATACATTTCTCTATAAAATTCACTCCATCGCTGCATGACGTCCGATTTTTCTGAGAGGACGTCATTGGTTCTCGAAAGCACTTTGTTCATTCTTAAGGCTGTCGCACCACTCCGGGACCCTCCAACCTCTTTCCAGAAGAGTTTGGAGTTTTCCTTAAAGTTGTGCGACAACCTCTCGTCCGCGTCTGTTCTACACCTTTCACGTACTTCCTCAATCAATGTTTTCGCATGAACTTTCTGCAGCTTATATCTTTCTTTCATCTTCTCTCTCATATGCTTATCGTTACTAGAAGGGCAAGTAGTCTAACCATGCTTTTTTCTTCTTTTTTACAGCTTCTCTAACTTCATCATTCCACCATGCATCTCTTCTTTTACTACTACCTCTTTTTGTCGTTCCACATACTTCTTCCGCTGCACTTACCATCCCATCCCTAAGGTTCTGCCATGTTCTCTCCACACATTCTTTCCTGCCGTCGATGGTGTCAAGCTTTTTGGCTACCCTCGTGTGATATTTGTCCCTAGTATCCGCTTCCTGAAGCTTCCAGCTTCGGATGCGACAGACCGACTGTGGTTCTGTTACTGCCGTCCGGTAGCGCCAACCCGCGAACAAACCCCTAAATCTAGTAATTACTAGATAGTGATCCGTTCCCAGGTCAGCACCACTGAACACTCGTGTATCCATCACCTGTTTTCGCAGTCATTCTTCCACCAGGAACAAATCAATCATACTTCTCTCATTCTTTCTTTCTCTAGTGTACATATGGATTTTTCTGTGATTGAACATAGTGTTTGTCACAAGAAGACCCTTTTCCTTGCATACAGCCAGTATAAGTTTGCCAGCATCATTAACCCTTTTATCGCCAAACTTTCCAGGCACCAACTCGTATCCTGGTCGAGCGATATCTACACATCCATTCAAATCACCACATACAACAGTTCTTTCGTTTCCCTTAACCAAATCTAGAACTTCTCTTACATTCTCCCAAAACTCCTCCAGCTCAGCTCTGGATGACGAAGCTACCTATTTGACATAGTCATTAAACAAAATATTACTAGATAGGCAAAATTTCCGAATATCCAAAAAAATACATAAAAATAATTCATCATAAGGCGTTTGCGTAAAACTAAAAATATACTACGATCGCTATTTAATGAAAGTTGTAAGGGCGAGCGAGACGCATGCACATCTTTCATTATGTAGGTGCCAGGTGGCCAGGTAGCGGCCGACACGTCGTTGCAGCCAACATTTTTAGAATCAGCTGACGCGCGCCTTACGCTACCAAAAATTATTTTTCTCTTATAAGTGATTAGACACTTTTGATTTTTATTTTTTATTTTGACTGCTTTGTTGGTCTAGTGGTTGTAGTAGTGCGACAGCTGATCATAAGGTCCTGGGTTTGAATCCTGGGTCGGGACAAAAAAATCTATTTATTGAGTTTTTCCGTTAAGAAATCCGTAGTAGTTGCCCAGAGTCACGAAGTTGGTGGTGTCTCACCCCCGTGCCTTGGAAAGCACGTAAAGTCGTTGGTTGGTGGTGGTTTTTTCACGTATAATGTCAATGACTTTAAATTTCAGTATAAGTAGACCTCTTAGTAATAGTTACTGCCTACTATTGCAAGATCAGCATAATATACTGGTTATTAGTAAAATACTTGGTCGATAAAAGAAAAAGATTTAAAATACGGAGCACTTCTCATTGCCACTCTTTCATCAATAATGACGTCGCGTGTCGCATGTTTGTAAATAAAAAAATTGAAACAGAAAATGGTATGTAGGTACATTACATTTGTTTCAGATTATTGTTTTCGTGATTTCGATCTATCCTTCATACTTTTACTAGTTTAATAGTTTTGGTTGAGTAGAATTACATGTTAAATTTTAGCTTGTATTAGAATGAATTTATAAACAGTTTCTAATAATAATTTTATGCCTACCCTATATTGCAACATCTTGGCGTGTTTAAAAGATCAAAATCAACTACAACAACAAACAAAATTATAATGATTACTTATTTATTTGTATTTAAAAGTTCAAAATCAACTACAACAACAAGCAAAATTATAATGATTACTTATTTACAAACTATACTGATTGATATTTACAAAATTATACTTCTACACTATTGTTATTTACAAATGAAAATTTACCTTTTCGGCGATATCGCTGTAATTGTTCAAAATGTCTACAGTTTCCTTCTAAACACAAACTAGCACGTCTTTGTAAATTGTTTGTTAAACTTCGAAGCGTCATTCATCACTTTTTTATCACAAATGCGTCTATTATACGCTGCTTCTAACACTTTGTGCTTCTTCTGTGTACACTAATGGTTTTTGTTCGGCCTACAAATAAAAATCTAGAGGTGTTAGGTCTGGTGATCTCGCCGGCCAGTTCACACGTCAACCACGACCTATCCACTTAACACCGAATTGGTTCGTCATTGGAGTATTGGTAAATGTTTACGTTACACACGGAGAAACATAAACAATACGATGGTGACGCGCCATCACGCCACAGCTTATAAAAAGTAACTGTAGAGTTGAGAGCGCGGGCGGCTTTGCCCTTGAGCCTGTGACCCTACGAAGTGACAAGGTTAAAAATGCCTACTAAATTTGTTGTTTTATTGCCGTTCGTAAAGTATGATGGGGTATGATTTGAATTTCGATAGATTTTAATTGATTTATTTTATTAATTCAAAATTTTTGTTTTTATTTTTTGTAAAATTTCAGTGCCATAGGCTCCTACTCCGTTCACCAGTTACACCCTATTTATTTTACGGTAAAAAAGATCATCCAGTCTATCCTGTCCAATTCTATTCCAGTTGTACTGGAATAGAAGCCTATGACACTGATATTTTACAATTTTTTGAAATTAACATATGAAGTAGATCTATCAATAAATACCACTGATTGGGTGCATATTATTTTAATTTCGATAGTTTTTATGATTTATATATATATATAGTTCAACATTTTTGTTTTTATTTTCTTAGTAACGAAAGTGACGGTGTAAGAATATCCACTAGCCCATATCGTCCAGTGGGTGTCGTAAGAGGCGACAGAGGAAGACAGGCAGGAGATGGGCAGCAAATCTTTGATAAAACTAATAAAAGAAACTGCGAAACTCTTAACTATGGGTATGGTAGAGCCATGCTATTACGTGATAGAGCCATGCTTTTACGTGATAGAGCCATGCTTTTACGTGATAGAGCCATGCTTTTACGTGGTAGAGCCATGCTGCAGCTATATTGTGGTTGCAGCATGAACGGGTCGGCTTGACCGTGGTATGACCACGCTCTCACAGAATACCAGCAAAAAATATGCTGGTATTCTGTGAGAGCGAGAGAGATAATGCTGCTGTGTTTCGTATGGTGAGTGTAGAGAACTGGAGACCCTTTTTACTGGAAACGAGGCGTTCCATCTCGGTCCTCAAGGCTGGCAACACATCTGCATTTTGATTCTTAATTGAAGATAAATGTTGATGTCTTCGGGCCACAGCACCACATTTACCCTCATGTGGACCGTGTGCTCGTTTGTCACCCTTATTCTATAAAAAATCCCCCCTATGAGGCAATCAATGGGTGAGGCCTATATTCAGCAGTGGACTTTTATAGGCTGTGATGATGATGAAAGTTTATTTCAAATTAGTAGTATGTATTTATTGTTAGATAAATTTCATAATAATATGTTAATGTAAAAGAAAAAAATTGTAAAATATCAGTGCCATAGGCTTCTATTCCGTTCACCTGTTACACCCTGTTTTTTCCAAATAGTAAAAAAGGTTATCCAATATATATCATATTACATCTTTATATTTTATTTTATGACACATTTTCAGTCTTTATCGATATATTTATCAAAAAAAGTAGATTTAAGTCACTTGTACTATAAAATAATGTACACACGTGTAAAATACTGTTAATTAAAAAAATCTGAAAAAAGAATGACATTGCAGGCCACCCCTGGAACTTCCCGCTTATTTTCGAGCACATTGCTCGAAAATCTATTTAATTTGTTTATGTTTTTATTTTTTGAAAATCTTTGAAACCGCTCGACTCATTGACTTGAAAATCTAATCAGCTCGAAGTCTCAATGAACACCTTCGCCCATCTCGATCGGTTGATTCGTTCCAAAGATATCGTACGACAAAATTTTATTTACTTACGTACATACATACATAAAGACACACACACGCGTGCACGCGCACACATACACGCGCACACATACCGACGTTCTGTCGGACGTCCAGCCGCAATCGAAACGGCTTCCCAAGACCTCAAAACGTGGAGATCTGACAAAAAGGGGCATTCCCAAAATCGGATCGAAATCCATAATTTCGTACTTTTGAAAATTATTAATTTTCAAAGCAGGAAGTTAACAAAGGGACTTGTTGTTAGTTCTAGATCTTTAATTTTAATATTCATATGTATAATTAAATACAAATATTATGTGGGCTATATCACAATATGCAGTCTCTATAGGATTTTATAACCATGTTTCTATTGAACATTATTTTCCAATAGGCATTACAGAAAAATCATACGTTCATTCCTCTTAAAATGCATATTTTATTATTTACAGGCACAATATCAAAACAAGAAAAAGAATTAGAGGAACTGAAAGCTCAAATGTTGGCGGTGATGCCTACGGAATTCATGACGCCAGTCAGCAGTTCAGTCTCCAAATTGCGTCTATCCGACGGCTCGCCGCTGGATCCAAACGCCTCCGTCTACACGCCGAAACAACTCATGTCCGACGCCTGAGCACAGTTTCTAGTATACGAGCAACCCTGCTCATCCCCGCCCTGAGCAAAGGTACGCCGAGCTACATACGAGCTTTCGATCGAGCCTCCACGCTGATCTTTGTATGGGCGTTCTTCTGATCTCAATTTTTTTCTCTTTTTTTTTTGAATGAACTGTGAATTTTGTGTCATGCCCTTACATTACATAAGCCAATGTCCATACAAATATCGGTAGAAACCAGATATGAACAATAAGTGCAGTGTTAACCGAGGCAATTATATCAGAGTGTTTATTTTTTCATTGATGAAACATTTGGATTAACTTTGTGATACCTGTTAACTCGGAAATGGTTTAGTGGTGGATAAAATTAACAAAAGGGTGGATAACTATTACAAGTAACGCACATCGCTGAATTGCTTTGGACACCAAATACAAATATGCATTTTCTGTCTTGTGATTTATATATTTTTTCGTTTTCTTTTTTTGTTGTTAGCATTTTTGTATTTGCTGCCAGTTTTAAAGTTCATCATTTATATGAAAACCTTAAAATTCCATTACTTAACAAATTACTTTATTAAACAAGTTATGGCCTCATAAAAATAATTTTATCCACCAACAAACATGGACAGTCCTTCCATTCGTCATAATATATTGCTGCTGCAGTCTGTGTAAACGTATTCTTTTAAATGTTATGTGATAAATTGTACAAAAGTAAGATCTGATTGAGTCTTCTTCATTGTGTAATTATTATAGTTCTAATGACGTTTTAGTCCAATTGTCGGTTTAAAGTGTATGGCCACCATAGCGTGGTGTAACACAAGTTTCTTGTTACTAAAATAGTTTTAAAAAAAGATGGCGGACACGCAACTTGACAGTTGTTAAACCATGACAGTTTTTTTCCTGTGAGTTTGATTGACTCACTGTCTGACAAACAACAAGCACGCAACTTTAATTGCTTGTTTCGTTAATTTGGCAACATTTTAGATTACAATTAACAAAAGCTCAGTACCTGTTTTTAACTAGTCATATTTGATTTAGTAATAGTATGAGTTTAAAATAGAAATATTGTTCAAAATGTGAGTGCGTGAGTTAAAAAGAAAAGCAGAATAACCTCTGCCGGTCATTTGACAGAATGTTTATATTACGTAAATGTTTAAGCATTCTAACTTTTACCTGTTTTAAAATGACTATTGTATAGATAGCGGCATGAGTCGTGAGCATAAGGTGACTGTCTACAGTATCCATCCAATGTAATAATAAAGTCCTTCTCTCAACATAGCCATCTGCGCAGGACAGGTTATAATGCACAAGTGTCTGTGCAAGCACAGGTGCTATCTATTCCCGCATTCTCCTAGTTTGATGGGACGGTAATCCGATACGACTGGAGACAGATCAAGCGCAGAATCAACGGCTTTACGTGCTTTGAATGCGCGGGGGTGAAGCACCAACATCTTTCTGACTCCAAGTTGCTATTGAGAATTTCTTGAAAGAAAAACTTAATAACTGATTTTGGCCCTAGATCGGGCATTCGAACCCGGAAACTTATGGTTAGGAGTTATGATTACTAATCTAAAGAGACAGTCACCCAATATACTGCATGTGAATATATAACAGAAGATGAATAACTGACGGTCCTGTCACGTAAAAGAATGTTCACCGTTAACACTGCACCTTGTACTTCACCAAAGATTTACAAGACAATTAGGAGTAGGCTACACTAGGTAAAGTTGGAAACTTGTTTCTGGTACTTTTAAATAAGAGTTCCAGAAGCCTGTTACGAAATATTATCAGACTGTTATCTCTCAACAAGTTTCGATAGGAACTGTCTAAGCTGAGTCAGTCCTATTCCTATGGCTGTGCAATTTCAATGATATACAATAAAGTTATTAGTTTTTTTTTTACTTACGGTAATATCTTGACTTAGCATAAATATACAATATGTAACAAACAACCCGGTGATCCTTTTAAAGTGTAAAGATGTACATATAGACATGGCATTTATGACAATGAATTTTTTTTGTCGTTATTAAAGGGATTTAGTGTTCATAACAGGTAACCAGCTAAATTAAATCTTGTGAAAAAATGTTATACAAGTATTTTTCATAGAGTAGCCAAATTTTAAATTTAAATTCAAATATATATAATGATATACCGTTTTTCCAATTTCTGAAAATACGAGTAAATAAGGCTTCTACTTTTATTTTAAATTATCCCAAATTGAATGTGATTTATGGTAAAGTTTTTGCCTGTCGATCGACCCTTACGAATGTGTGCGTGCGCAGTAAAATCAGTTAAAATAATGTATTACCACGCATTTTGAATTTAAAAGGTAAAAAGGACAGAATATTTTGAACTCATTTTTCTGCACCATTTGCCTATATTGCTTAATGTGAATTTTTCTGCAACTTTGGCCGGTTATTGCAAAATATACCTGTATATATCTGAACAATTTCATTGGTGCCGGCGGGGATCGCACCCGGGTTACTCGCGTTCTCTTATATTTCCAGCGAGCCTTAACCATCTGAGCTACCACGGCTCTCCCTCTCCCTCGCAGAAATGAGGGGAGGCCTGTGCCCAGCAGTGGGACGTATATAGGCTGTAACTTTACTTTTTTACTTTCATATATCTGAACAAACTGACACTCGAATCACCAGATCGAAGCAGAGGCTTTGCCAATACTTTTACTCCCCAGTCAATGCAGAGGTAATAAACCCACTAAGGAACAATTTACAACTAAAAAGTTAATTAAATTAACTTTGTTTTTTAAGATCGAGTATCTGAAATAAAGTTATTTCTATACGTTTCAAATGATTCTGATAACGCACTTACGGGAACCGCAGAGTTCTTGTTACATGTTGTATTTGGCATCAATTATAATTTGTATAGATTTGTTTAAGTTTACTAAAATTTAATAGTAAGGTTCGGATGCTAGAATATTTATGCCTAATCAAATGTGAAAACAGACATTTTGCGAGAATAAGTGTTATTCCTTAATAAAGAAAACCTTGTTTCCAGTTGTTACAGAAATATTTTGGTCACATAGGTAACAGGTACAGTTGTTTAGTTTTATAAAAAAATATTTTTGTAAACACCTCTTGTTTTTTTCTGTTACGATAAAATATGCCTCACTCCTACTGGCGAATCGTGCCGCTATCTATGGCCGGGCGGTAATAGAAAACAATATATAGAAATAACTTAAAATAATTTTATTCAACTACTTGTCATCATGTACAATCTCTTGTATCTCAAACTAAATTACGTTCATTTTACTACAGCAATAATATCAAAAACAGAAAATTTAAAGTTGCGTGCGTTTTTTATACACCTTGTTTTTTAATGTCTCGAACTGATAATGTCATAGTTTCTATTAATTATTAAAATAAGTTGGTTTCCCATGTGTTCACAGTTTTTGTGATAATATATGTTAATTAAACTGAATTGTGCGTTGGGAGAATATGCTTCCTTTGAAGACAGTGGGATTATAATTATCGTTAAAGCATCTACTTAACTAAGAACACATGTTGGAAACTGCCACTTTTTAAATAAGCTCATTAGGCAGATACTTTGAATAAAAGTTTCGGCTTTTTTAAATTTAACTAGCCCAAAATCAAGAACTCTTATGAGACTGAAGCTTTAGTACAGTTTGATTTACTCAATACAATTATTATATAAATCGTTTTTTGATGCTACTATTCTATATTAAATTGTTCGGGTAATTTTTCCATAGATATGTTAAATATGTTCTTGACTTGACAAAACAAGTTGTTCGGGTGCACAAATTATGTCTTATTTAAATATCAGTAATCGAATTCAACATGTGTTATTATGTGGGTAGATGCTAAAAATTCTAGTTATCGATTTTCTTTGTTATCTTTATATTTATTTTTAAAAAGTTCAAATGTACTTCCACTATGCTTCCAATATTTTTAAAATCTTATTATGTTTGCACTGAACCATTCTATCTAATTTGTTACTACCAAATTTTTCTATGATCTACGTCTTTCCTACTGCCTACTTCTTTTCAATGTTCTCATTTCTACTTTAAATGTTCGTATTGTTATACTTTGTCCATACATTATTACTTGCTCAATATGACAGATTGATAAAAAATGCCAAATTTGTATTTATATTTATTTAATAAGTTGCGTGCAAAAACATTCATTCTATCCAAAAAAATATCTGTAGTATGGACTTAGCATCATATCTTTAAACTTTATTTTTTCTTTACTAATTAAGTCCCACTGTACAGTGCTTCCCTAGTCATATTTGGAAGTTGTGTTTTTGGCAATATTTTACATAAAATAATTTCTCGTTAAACTAACTTACATACTTACAATCATAAAAACCACATCATCACAGTCTAACGCACATGGGATTTAATAAAAATTGTTGTATTATTATTGAGATTGTGACACACTTTGTCGACTCTAGTCTTAACCGAGGCTCATTCTGTGAGGTGGTGTGAACGTTTTGTCACGCACACACCTTCTGGAAGCAGCCCTTAATATTATTTTATAACCTAAGTTTTTAGGCGTTTAGGTTTTTTTTAATCTGAATTCGCACTGCCTTCGAAGTCAGATCCGTTGTTTAATTTTAGAACATGAAAATACTTCAAGTACTTAACTTAGTTTTTTTAATTGGATGTGATTTGCCGACTAACTTTGCATTTTTTTAATGAAGTCAAGATGTCAGCAGCAAAGACCATAGACAGCAGTATATATTTTCATGAACATTTTTCTGGGATGTAACCGATTAGGTGCAATTGGTACAAGCAGGAACGATCTGAATTTTCAATAGTGAAATGTAAGCGATAATATTTGTTTGTATTATAAACGGATGCTGTAACAGCAATAAAAATCAGACGCGTTTCGTGTTTTCATTGTTTTTCGTGCTATTACCTGAACCCATCCATACAAATGTAACTCATTTGTTATCCTCACATATATATTATAGAATAAGGGTGACAAATAGGCAAATAGTCCACCTGATGGTAAGGTGATTTTGTGGCCCATAAACATCTA